GTCATAGAGGAGCTGTAGCTCCTTATTTAGTAGGGATTATCATCATAACTGGCTCCTTAGCTCCTCCAACATCAATGGCTAGGAAACCTAAACAAAGGGCCCAGGGTCAAAAAGGAGCTGTAGCTGATCACATCCGGTCGAAGCCTGCTTGGAGGCCTCAGCGCTCATCTTCTATACTTGGAGGGTCGGGGGACTTAGTAGGGGCTCCTTTAAAGAGGACTCTAAGGGTTCCCATAAAGGGCTCTATAAGGGTAGTATAGGGTTTAGGGTTTAGGGTTCAGGGACTTAGTAAGTAGGTAGTAAGTAGACTTACAAGTACCCTAAAAGGGACCCTATTTGGGGTTCTGGTACTTTTTACTCCGTCAGATAACCAGCTTCTAAGTCCCCCGACCCTCCAAGTAGGGGCCTTTGGAGCCTTTTTTTTGTGCAAGGCTTAAGGGTTTAGGGTTTAGGGGTTTAGGGGTTTAGGGGTTTACATAGGGTTTAGGGGTTTAGGGGTTTAGGGTTTTAGAGTTTAGGGGTTTAGGGGTTTTTTCGAGGGTTCGTTTAAGGACTCTTTGAGGGCTTTCTGGGCTTAGGGTTTAGAGCTCCTCTCCTGTAGGTGGGTGGTTGTCGAAATTCGGGTCCCTTTTGGGTCCTTACCCTAAGGCTCCTAAGAGGTTCATGGGCTCTCTGGGGGAGGGTGTCGGCTTTGGAGGCTAGGGTTCGGGATCTCACTACAAGGGTCCAGGAGCCTTAGGGTAAGAAATTACGGCACCAAATATTTAGGGCACCCAAAAAGGGCCCCTAGTTTTGACAACCACACAGGTGCTTTGGGGCTTAGCGTGTTGGTGTGTGGGGTTTTGAGGTTGGTGGTGTAGGGTTCCGTAAAGGATTTGTTTAGAGCTCTTCGTCTTGAGCGCTCATGGGCTTTAGGGATTTGGGCTTTAGGGAGAGTTTTAGGCTTTAAGGTTTCGGGGCTTGGGGTTTTGGTATTTTAAGCTCTGGGGCTTCAGGGTTTGGGGCTTTAGGGGTTTGAGGTTTACGGGCTTTTGCGGTTTCGGGTCTGGGCGTTTTGGGCTGAGGGTTCTCGAGGTCTTCTTCGAGGGCTCTGGAGGGGAAGCGTAGGTTTGTTGTTGCGCCGATACCGAAATGGGAGCTTCCGAAAATTAAGGGCACCGGGCACCTTATTTCGGGGTCCTTATCATGCGGGCCCTACTTGTAAGGGTCCTATATTGGGCTCCCCTATTTTTCGGAAACTCCAAGATTGAAGCAGAGGTTTAGGCTTTGAGTTCCTGGAGCCCCAGCTACCCCTAAACGGAAACTGCCGACCTGAAAGAGCCACGGTTTAGGGTTTAGGGTTTGGGGTTTAGGGTTTAGGGTTTAGGGGGTATATAGGACGATCTGGGTACCCTGAAGCCCAAGCCACGCACCGTTTAAGCTGCAAATCCATAGGGTTCCGAGCAACTCGTACAAATAGAATGCCTCCCTTAGGGTCCGTATAGAACCCTTTTTGGAGCCCTTAGAGAGATCAGATCCCTTAAAGGAACCCTTTTCAGAGCCCTTAGAGATCATATCTTCTAAAGGAGCCCTGGGAGACGGGCCAAGGGAACTCCTAAACTTTCAAGGTTCAGGGGTTTAGGGGTTTAGGGTTTAGGGTTTCAAAAACCCCCACAGTTCCAAACTAAGGAGTTTATTTTAAGCTCGGTTTACCTAGATGGTCATACCCTACCCCTTTTTAGGTTACCTAGTTTTATGGTTAGGATCTCCGATATGGAAAAGTAGGTATCTCAAAAAAGGGGGTAGGGTATGAGCCTATAGGTAGGGTTTAGGGTTTCGGGTTGAGGGGATCTGCAGTATGGAAGGTCTGGGTACTGTAGTTTAAGCTGTCAACAGTAATAAGATTTCTGTGTGATGGTAGCCGAACAAAACTGAGTTGCTTAACCCTAAACCCTATTCGGATTAGGAAGATTCCAGCCTAGATGCATCATCCTCAGGAATTCAAGCCCCCAGCTCCAGCGCTCCTGCAATTTGCAGGGTTGAGGCCCCGCCAGAACCTACTTGTTTATAGGGTCCACATAGAATCCATGTTAGGCACACTGGGGTGTATAATACCTTAAACTATACTTGGATCCCTGGTATGATCAAAGGTATGTCCCTCAATCCAGGGATCTTGGAAGATATAGGTAGGAATTAAGGGTTTGTTTGTTTGAGCTCTTGGGCTTGGGGGTTTAAGGGTTTAAGAGTAAATGAAGGGTATACAGTGTAGCGTCTGCTCCAGCGCACCTGCTGGCCAGAGCTGCTGATGGCCTTATTGCAGATCTTCGTTCGCGCGTTCTCGGACATCCCGTGGCTCTGAACCTTGGCTTTGAAGTAACCGAACCTTACAACTATCACGGCTCCCTTCAAGGAGCCCTTAACGGAACCCATCAAAAGGAACATCTTCCCTAAACCCTCAACCCCAAACCTTGAAGGGCCCCTACAGTAAGCCCCAGAACATTTTGGAAACAGGATAAAGGCCAAATAGTGTTGGGATTCCCGAAACAATACTCTTAAGGATTGAGGCTATTGGGTTTCCAACTTCTGGGCCTCTACTGTAAAGTAGGAGCCTATATAGCTAGAATAAGGGTCCTTGAAGGGGGTCCTTTAAAGGGGTCTATTGGGATTCTATAGTACCCCAAGGGTCCAAGTACCTAATCATATACTCTCCCAAATGGGCGGCAACCTACATAACTACTATCCGAAACCTAAGTGCTTAACTATTGGGTCCTTTGGACCCTAGGGGGTTGGGTTCTATATTGGGGGCCTTGCTGTATATACTACTTTGGTCACCGAGGAGCTGCAGACTGCCATTGCCAACCGCCGGACTCGCGCATGGCGATCACCATCTACCAGGTTCTTGATTAAGGAACTGTAATGGCTCCTTTAAGGGATGCATAAGGGGGTTCCTTTATGGGTTCTATAAGGGTTTGAGGGTTAAGGCATTTAATTCAAGTTACCAGTCATACGGGTCTAGAGATAAAATAATATGGGTTCTTCACTATGGTACCTTAAACTGACTAGACGACTTTAACTCTAAGCAACCACCACTTACTTTTTTGTAGGGCCCCTACAGATTCCATATTTAAGGTAATGTGAGGCCCCTTAACCCAATGGAACCTTGAAGCTGGAACCTGGAATCCGGTTTCTTCATCCATGAAGCCAAAACCCTTCGCCTAAACACTTTGAAACACAGAGCTTCCCAGGTACCTAGTCATCATATACTCTCCAAAGCAGTAACCTACATTACTGCTATCCTGAACCCAAGTACCAAATTCTTCGGTCCTTTGGACCCTGAAAAACCCTACTATAAAATCCTGGTAGTTCGACCCCCGAACCAAAATCCTCTAGGGGCCCTAAATGTTCGGTCCTTTGGGCCCTTGCGCTTCAAGCCATGCACAGCGTGACAAGCACTTCAGAATCTCATCACGGGGTTGATATGGGGCCCCCGTTTTTTTTTAATGGTCCCTGTTCGAACTGCAGAACAGTTAGAATTCCTGTTTAGGGTTTAGGGTTTAGGGGTTTAACCCTGTGGATTGCACTTTGTCGACTGGGTGTGTTGCGGCGCAATGCGGGGCCAATGGGGGCCATTGCGGCCTAATGGGGGCTAATGGGTCAACCCATTAGTGCCCATTGGGCCCCGTTGGGCTGCAACCAAAGGGCAACCCAAAGGGGTCCCCTTCACGGGGGCCACCTGTCAATCCTGTGAAGAAAGGTTAGGGACGAACCGAAAGGCAATATACATAAACTACGGTTGATGATACAAATCCTTCACTACCTTAATGAATCTAGACTATGGGAGTTATGGTATATTCCTGATTATGGCTAAAGCAGGATTATATCATCAACCGTAGTATAGGGGCCTCACGAACTAGAATAAGGTTTTGGCATCGGGTAGCGTAGAACTAATTACCAGGAATCGGAGACCCAAAGCAGCACGGTTGATGATATAGATCCTGCATTACCCATAATAAGGAATATACCATAATTCCCCTAGTTTAGGGTCCTTAAGGTAATGCAGGGTGTATATCATCAACAGTATTCTGTTCAACCCTACCCAACTCCCTAAGCCCAAATCCTCCAGCAGAATCATCGTGATCAGACCCTAAACCTTGCTTTCGAGCATGGGGTGTGCGGGTAGATTATGGTAGGGTTGTCAGTACGGATCAGAGGGGATACCATTCATGACAATTCTGAGTCGGCATCTCGATGCGCTGGGCCGGTGGGGTCCGTTCTGATCTGCACCAAGCCCTGAACACAGAAAAGTGGCCCATCACAGCCACACCTACCCATAGATTCCCCACTGTCACCAAAGGCTGCTTTGAAGAAAGCCTTCAAGTCTAAGTATTTCTGGTAAGGTGTGGAGGCGTGGGTCCTGCCTCTATACCCTGAACCGCTAGACTTAAACCCTACTAAACCCGAACCCAAAGCCCCTGAAGCTCTCAGTACTCTAAACCCTCCACGGCTTTATTAGGGTTTAGGGTTTAGGGTTTAGGTTTTATGGCTAATATTCGCTTTGAAGTGCAATCCGTGGCTAGGAAATCGATGCAGGGCTTCGGGTTCTGGCTTCATATCTGCAGGCTTTACTTGGACCCTGAATCACCTACCTTTTTGAGGACGTGTTTAAGGAAATCGAACTACGGAACCCGAGAAAGGTAGGTTCTTAGAGGTCCAAGTGGGGTTGAAGTATAGGCGCATGGGGCTGCGGTTCAAAAGCTTCTAGGGATCTGGATCTACCAGCACCCCCCAATTGCCCTTTACTGGAGCCTTATGGTCCTTAATAGTGGGTATTTAGGGCATATCCCTAAACCCTAAACCCTAAACCCTAAACCCTGGCCGATTGCTTGATGAATTTCGGCATTAACTACTGATTGTGTTAGACCCTGAGCTTCGATTGTACGTATCTGTTCCCATGCCCTGATTATGGTCCATTAGGGTTTAGGGTTTAGGGGTTTAGGGTTTAGGGTTTAGGGGTTTAGGGTTTAGGGTTCTGTGCTTTTCAGCTCCGTCATGGCGGGCATCTCATTCAGCAGCTGCGCCGCTAGGTGACTCTTCCCTCCGTCCGCGCAAGCGAGAACAGCCAACTCGTAGACGACAGTGTCGGCAGCTACGCTGTCCTGTCATTTCGTAGGGGCTTTGATACATGAACATAATCATGTAGAGGCATTAAGAAACTATGCTATAGCTCTGTGAAATAGTAGCAATACTAATATACAAAAATCTTTTCTTGTGAAGAAGAAATTACCAGGAGTGGTAATGGTAGTAGTGATGCGAGTCTGGTGATTGTGGGTTTAGGGAAAACTCGAAACCCTAAGCCCACAGACCTTTAGGATACTCAAGGGACTTCGTCGCAATTAGGTGTCGAGGCTGATACCCTCAAGGTTCAATGGTCCAATTGTAACCAAGGTTCTTTGTGCTTTTGGGTTGGGTGCGACTGCTGTATATCAGGAACCAGCAAACAGCCTCAAACCTTAAGCACTGTAAGCCCCCATCAAAGGAGGAACCCTAAACCCTAAACCCTTAAACCATGTAAGCCCCCACCGGAGGAACCTTATTATGGGCATTAAGGCCCCCTACCCCCCTCCCTCTACACCCCAAAGGGTCCCTATGATATTATAGGGCCACCTGGAGCATGTCGAAGAACAACCGCAGCGCCTTTGGCCACTGCGACTTTTGCACGAAAGCGCTCATTCCAGCAGCGATGCTGAGAGCGCTAACTCTCAGTCGTGTGAACCTTGGGTTTAGGGTTTCGGCTTTGGGTTTAGGGTCTCGAGCATTTGGGGGTTAGTACGGCCTAGGCCTAAACTTTCAGCTGCCCTGATTGCAAAGAAAAGTTGCTTAATCATTGTCCGTAATACGTAAACCCTAGACTTGGGCCTGTACCCAAACCCCTGGACCCTATACCCATAATAAAGCCATTATATACCCATTATATAGGTAGGGGTCCCCATTAAAGGTCCCTCCTTTTCCCCTTTTACAATGGAGACTACAGGTCCCTAAACCCTAAACCCTAAACCCCAAAGCCGACAGCCCGAATCAGCCAGGTCAAGTCCACCAAGTAACGACATCTCCAAGAGAAGCTGCAATGCTTTCTGCCATGCGCCGCCCTTCTCGCAAGCCTTAGATGTCTTGGCATAAGCGGTGTGAAACTAAACAGAAACTGTTACTGCTGTAATGTAATGCATTTCGAGATCTAAAAGATGATGGTCAGAAAGATGCGACTCATCCTAAACCACCTCCGAATCCTGAAACCTCATCAGTATCAACAGGCATCAGCATCGGCGGCAGCACCGGAGTTTGTGCTGTGTTTCAATACTATACTGATGTCATCGTCTTCCTCGCCTACGATGTCGTAGTCGTCGTCGGCGTCCTCCTCTTCCTGCTCCTCGATGTCATTGCGACTCCACCCTCTTGCCATCAACATGGCAATCACGATCATAATCACTAAAACCATGATGGCCAACCCTCATCAGCGCCACCATGCTCATCACAACCGTCATCATCATCATCATCATTATCCTCATCTTCACCATGGCCAGAATAGTCATTTACAGTCTTTGAACACCCTGGTCTTCAACACTCTCGTTACCTGAAGCCTATCGCTTCCATGTATTCGAAACTTCGGAAAAGGCTAGCGCAACTAAACAGACCAAAACCCCCGAAGAACATCTGCACTAGTCTAGTCAGGATCTGGAGGCACTGACAACGGCGTTAAAGCTGATAGATGTCCTCTCTACGCCCAACATTGACATCTCGGAGAGCAAACACGAGGCCAGCTGCCACTTTCCATGCTTTTCCAGCGCACTGAGGACAGAATTAAATGTGATTGTGGTGGCTCTGACTGTGGCAAGTGGGAGGTCGCGAAGAAGTTGGAATGCCATCTGCCACTGGGAGCCCTTCTCGCAGGCACTTGCAACAGCACTGCAGCAAACCACATCGGCTTTCTGTCTGCTTTTGAGAAGTCGTGACACCAACTGCACTGCTGCCTGCCATTCACCAGCACTTTCGCAAGCACTGATCGCGGCACTGAATGCGAAAACGTCCGGGCATACCCTGGCCCCATCCATCGTGACCAAAAGCTGCAAAGCCAACTCCCACAGACCGCCTTTCCTTTTATGATTGGACAAGTCGCAAAAAGGGTTTGCTGGGTCCTCAGTCCTCAGAACCTAAACCCCCAAACCCCCCAAGACCCCAAAACCCCCAATTTCCCAAAATGCACTACTATTTGGGTACTCCTAACCCCTTTAAAGCCCTAAAATCCCTACAGACCCCCTAATTCTCAAACAAACACACTACTATTTGGGTACTTGGAGCCTCTTAAGTAGATTGGGGTACCTTATTTTGGGGTCCTTATCATGCGGATCCTACTATTTTGGGTACTACATTAGGGTCCCCTAATCATCGGAAACACCCTAAACCCTCCCTAAACCCTTTATAGAATCATAGAATCCTTATAGATCCCTTTAAGGGTCCCTTTAAAGGAACCCTAGGTTCCACTTGGGTCCTTGGAGCCTCTTGGGCAGGTGCCGAGGCTCTGACAGGCGCTAATGCAGGAACTGAAAGTGATGACGTCTGGCGGCACCTAGGTTTATCGTTAGGTACGGCCCCCCAAGTAGAAGTTATAATAGTAGGGCTACTATTAAGGTCCTAATATATATATATATATATATACATACATACATATATATATATATATATATATATATATATACATTATGAGTATTGTTCAACTATTTGTGAGTGGGGGCCGAACCCAAGTTTATCAGTAGCCCTTGAGTGATAACAACAATAATAATTGTACGAATATTCATAATACTGATAGTACCAGTAATGGTAATAGCAACACCAATACTAATAACGAAGATAATAACAGTATAGCAATGAAACTAAAAAAACAACATAATGGTAATAACACCAAGAATAACAATAACAATGACAATAACATGAATAACAAGCAGTAGCAAGAAGAATCAAAGTACCCTTTTGCTTCTTCGGTTTTCACTAGGGAACCCAAAAAGAAAACGGGCAAAAGGGTACTACTCAGGAACCTAGGCACTGCTGCAGACGGCATGCTGGCCAGCAGCTCCAGTGCCACTTGCCAATTGCCGTCTTTCTCACAGACACTGATCGTAGAATTGTAGCTGACAGTGCTAGCTGCAAGCCGACCAGAATGCAGCTTAGAAAACACATGCAGAGCCATCTGCCATCTGCTTCCTGATTCCTCATGGCGCTGCAGAGCTGAAACCACTGAATTAAAGCCTGAGCTCTGCTGCAAACAAAGAGTGAACCCTGAAAACTTGGCCCTTAATTGAAAAAACAGATGTGCATGCGTATATACATGTATGTGTATATATATATATACACACACATAACTAACGACCCCTGAACCCTGAACCCCCATACCCTAAACACTAAACCACGTAATTACACAGGAAGGCGTTGTACTCCAGAGCCCAGGAGCTGATCGTGGATGCAGAGACCCCCGATTCCCGCATCCTTGAAAGCAAGGCAGCGGAGCATCTCCAGCTGTCTTTCTCACAGGCACTGATGCCCGCGTTGAAGCCTCACCGAGCCCGTCCGGTTTAGGCTTTGGCGGCTAAGAAAGTTCTGAACAGCTTAGAGTAAAACGGATCGGAACCCTACTCATTTGAGAAACTGCAAAGGCTCAATAGCTGCCTTAACCCTGAAGAACCTACCTGTTTAGGGTTCCTTATTATGATTTCCTTACATAGGTCCTTAACAGGTAGGTTATTCCGGCTTAAGGTGGATATTGAAGAGCAACCCTAAACCCTAAATCCTAAAGCAGAGGCTCAAAATAGCCCCAAAGCCTTACATAGTATGGTCTTTGGGCCCAAAAGCCTTAAACATATGAGTCCTTAGATCCCTAAACCCTATTGATCCCTTCAAAGGACCCCTTATAGATCCCTTTACAGGAGCCCTGTATGAGTCCTTAGAGCCTAAGGGTATATACAAACCCCAAGGCAGAGAGGCTAATCGTGCTGAAGCCGACTCTGCATCTCGACATGTCTGAAAGAAGCTGAAGCGACATGCCCCACGCACCTAGGATGCCCGGCAACCTAGGAATAAAAAGATTACTAGGGTTCCTTTAAAGGGATCCTTTAAAAAGGGTACTATAAGGGATCTATAAGGGTACCATAATATACTAGGAGGCCCAGAAACCTAGGAATAAAAGGGGCTCCGTTTTCGGTGGTGGGTAAAGTTTATAGGGAACCTAGGACTACAAAAAAGCAAATAAGGGTACTACTGGGCATCCTAGCCGCCGGCTTCTTCCAGGGTGCCAATTCCCGCGGTGTAGCTGAAGACGGTTGGCCCGACTTCTGACTGATCCATCTGGAAAAAGAGACTGAGTCCTTAGTTGCTGAGTTCATAAGGCCCTTTTTGACGGTTTAGGGTTTAGAGTTTAGGGTGTATTATCCCAAAAAGTGTAAAGTGTATCCACTCAGCTACCAAGAGTCCCATCTGCCACCGGCCGCCTCTGCAACAGGCCGTGATGCAAGTGTTGAAGCAGACGGCGTTAGGCAACACCTTAGTCTCAAAACTTCGGGAAGGACACAGCAACCCGTAAACGGTCAAAAGGAGGATGAAGGATACGCGTTCAGGGCTCAGACTTGCAAGTCACAAGAGTTTAGGGTTGGAGGTGTTGAAGCTGAACTGTGCAGGAGCCTCCATCCAAATCCCCAAGATCGCACAAGTTGATGCCGACAATCACGGTGCATGGCCCAGGCTCCCATGCAAGAGAATAAGCTACAACTTGTGTATTGTTTGGGCACATGGAGCCTTGGGGATAGGGTTTAATCGGGTTTCGCAGGGATCGAGTCGGCAGGGTCGAGGGCTCAATGCTTAAGCCCCCTTAGACCCACAGCAGAACAAATTACAATCCTTCTGTTCGAATAAACAGAACATACTTGCTAAGGACACTATAGTAATATTGGTTGTGTTGGGCTTAAGGGTACATGAAGCTTCGCAGCCGAAGCACATCTGCAGAAGACATCGCCGCAAGCAGCTGTACAGCCTTCGCCCAACATCCGGCCCTCTCACCTGGTCTCTTGGGAAGTTTACACTTTTGGACTTGTCTAGAGACGGCTTAAGGCTTTTATTTATGGGTTTTGGTCGCCATACACGCGCAATGCCGAGCCGCAGCAACTGCTACCACTGCCATAGCTGACAACATCAGGTCGAAGAATGCGCGTCGGCATCGCAGACAGCAAATGCAAACCGTTCTCCCAGCATCGAAGTTTCCCCGCTGCGCCAATCTCCTAGTTGCAGAATACCCTGGCCAAAAAAACAGGCTGTTTCAAGTCGTGTTTTGGTGTTTAAGGTTTAGAGTTTCAGCAACTACCGTAGGAGTTGAAAGGCCACCTACTCACCTAGCAAGATCTCAGGTCTCCTTGTTGATGTCCCGCGTGAGCACAGGCACGTCCATGGCCGAAGGTTGCGGTGCATGTCTGGCTTTTGGCTTCCCTCCCTTTCACCCCCAAAACCCCCCAGAAACAATGGGCTAAACGTTAACCCTAAACCCTGCTTAGAACATCCGAAACGCTTCAAACGAACCAAGTCCCAAACTCATATACCCAAGGTAACACAGGGCGAATGTTCGAGAATATTTGCATGTCATCAAACCCGAAACCCTAAACAACTAGACCCTAAACCTGGACCTTAAACCCTAAGCCTCAAAAATCATAAACCCTAAACTTCTAAAAACCTAAAACCTTAACCCTAAACCCGAATACCCCCAAACCTGAACCCTAAACCCCTAAACTCCCGAGAGAAGGATTGAAACTTGAAACTCCAACGGCGACGGCTATGGCCGCTGGATCCAAAGCCCGGGGAGTTCTCAGCTAGGCTTTGTTTTTTTAAGGTCTACTTAGGGGTTCAAGGAGTTTGTTTAGGGATTTAGTGTGTTAGGGATTTAGGGTTTAGGTTTTGGGAGTTCTATTTTAAGCGCTAGATCTGTCAGGGATTATTTAATTTTTAGGGTTTAGGTGCACGGGTTAGGGCCCCATTCGCAAGACGAACCACCGGAGTCACGACAGTGGCAGCTGGTACCTGTGGAGCATTATTCCTCAAGTAGCAGGCGGTGGTAGAGGCCACCACCACGACGCATTATGACAACCCTTGGTGCTTAACGTATCAACCTGGGTAAAGATCTAAGATGTCTCCACCCCAAGCCACAAAATCAGATGACAAAAGCAGTCAAATGGGATGTCCGAATATGAGGGTATTTGTTTTGGAGTCCTTATAATCAGGATCCTACGATTTAGGGTACCATTTTACGGAAACTCCCAAGTGTGGAAACTCCAAAGGACTCAATACTGCTGATGGACAAAATCCTGCATGACCCTAAGGACTCTAAACTATGCGAAGTATGGTATATTCCTTATAACGGGTAATGCAGGATTTTGTCCATCAGCAGTAACTCGGTATTCGGGTTTGAAGGTAGGAACCTGATTAAGAAACCTTGGGCCTTTATTCGGGCTCCTTATATGAATCCTACTATTTTGGGGTTATAGGCCCGGGGTTTCTTAATCAGGTTCCTACATTAGGATGGTAGTCATGTAGGTTACTATTCTGGAGAGTATATGATAGTTAGGTACTTGGACCCTTCAGGGGCAGTACTTGAACTTTGTTTCTTCGCTGGAGCTTGGCCAGTAGTGATTGGAGTTGTGCGTATCCTACTTTGGGGCTACTGCTTTTAGAACCCTTGAAGTAGCAAGTCCTGATCTATAAGGGGATCTATAAGGGTTCCTTTAAAGGGATCTACAAGGGATCCTTTAAGGGTTCCTATAACGGGATCTACAAGGGTTCCTTTAAGGGTCCCTATAAGGGGATCTATAAGGGTTCCTTTAGGGGTTCCTTTAAAGGGATCTACAAGGGGTCCTTTAAAGGTTCCTATAAGGGGATCTATAAGGGTTCCTTCAAGGGTTCCTAAAAAGGGGATCGAAAAGGGTTCCTTTTTATTAAGGGGTTCCTTCAAAGGGATCTACAAGGGGTCCTTTAGGGGTTCCTATAAGGGGATCTATAAGGGTTCCTTTAGGGGTTCCTTTAAAGGGATCTATAAGGGTTCCGTTAATTACAGGCTTCCAAGGGAACCCTGTCAGGGAACCCCCTCGAGAAGTGCATGACCCCTATCGGGGCCCATTGAAAGCCATTGAGGCCCATCGAGGCCCAAAGAGCTTCAATGAAAACCAATGGTGCTCAATGAGTTTCAATGGGCACCAAAGGGCTTCAGCGCAGCTCAGCACTTCTCAGCTATTCCAGGCCATCATGAGCATTCGAGTAGTCTCATTCCGTCTAAGTTCTGCGTGGAATCGAAGCTCGCTGGAGCCATATATTAAAGCAGCTAGGGTAGGCACATACCAAGTTTAATGCGTGCAAGAAGTGTTGTCTAAGTAGACTCCGCCTTGGGAGGGGGCGTCAGCTGCAGGGAATACCCGCGCGTGGTTTAGAGCGGTTTTGAAAGATTTCGAGCTTTATCGAGCTTCATTGAGCTTCATTGAGAAAACCGTGCCCCAGGGGGTTTCCCCCCTTTAATTTAAGGATCCCAGGGACCTGTTTTGAGAGATTTCGAGGCTTATCGAGCTTCATTGAGGGGGACGTGTCCGAGGGTGTTTCCCCTCCCAAAATCGGGATCTGGGGGTTCGCCCTGAGAGAGTTTGAGCTTTAACGACCTTCATTGAGAGGATCTGGCGGGCACCTGTGCCTTATTATCAAAGCCTTTGAGAGATGAAGCGGCTGGTGCGTAGAAGGACGCCAAGTCACACACATACGCACCTCTGAAGCCACATAACTTGTATTGACGCCCTCAGGGGGTTGCCCCAGGGGGTTGCCTTAGCACCTTGTAAGTTAAGGGTTCCTATACTAGAACCCCGTTAGGTTTTTCTGAAACCGCATCTTTTCTTCGGCCCAGAAGTTACCACATAAGCATAAATATTTTACAAGGACATGGGCTTCATTATAACCGGATCTATATGCAAGATCCTTACCGTGGGGACCTAAAGAACTAACTTCCAATACTGTGTTGGAGGTACATTATGTTTATCCCAAGTTTTGCTCATGCGCCTTTTGGGGCCCTGCTACTAAACCTGAACCTCTCTCTCTCTTTCTCTCCGTCGAAGCTCTGGTCTCGCCTCGTCGATGCGGCGTTGCACCACTGTTAGCTTGTCCCCGAGGTCTTCGATCTTCGCGAGATCTGGGAGCAAGGCGTGTTGCATCTCTACAAGCACGGCGTCTGACTAGCCTTCAAGCAAGCACCGAAGCTGAGTTGCCAACAGTAACATTTCTGCCAATGGCTCACGGGACGCGGATCTTTGGGGCGACGCCCGATGCCGCCCCCTGAATCTTTCCGGATCGGGACCTTGCCCCGCGCCTTCGGCTTCGCACCGGGGGCCGACTTGCCACGCACCCGGCGCAGCGGGGCGACCGGCGCGGCAGGAGCGTCGCTCTGCTCCATCGCGTCCTGCACCTCTGCTGCCTGACATCGGGACACAGGGACACACGCCGGTTCGCATGCGTTTGAGTCATGCTGACTCGCGACCTTGGGGAGCCGAAACCTCCGGTGCCTCTTCTGCCGAGGGAGCCAAAGGACCTCCGCCCGCTCGGGCCGCGTGTGCGCCTCTGTTCCGTTAGGTCCATGTCTCCCTACCTGAGGACCTCGATCTTACGGCCAGCGGCCTCCTGCGGGGGCCGGCGGTGGCGGCGGCGGTTGCCGGATAGGCTTCTTGGATGCAAACTATAAGAACCAGACACACGTGCCACGCTCGCATCCTTGCCCAGGGACGGCCGGCGGCAAGGGCACCTGCACGTGCACCTCGTCGCAACCAGCACTTTCCATGTTGAGGCTGATTCTGCCGCTGCACACAGAAACCCTGTCCTGGACCGCCACGTAGCGTCGAAGGCGACGGCGCCCCGGCACCAGCTCGCCGACCACGTACTCCTGACAAGAACCACGGTCACATCCTAGCTCTTCTCACAGGGGCTTGCAGGAGGCGTCCGGACCTCTGCCGGTGCGCTTCCTTTGTAAGCCATGGCTCGGAGCAAAAGGGTTGCAGCTCACAGGGATAGCTATTTGCGATGAAGGAGGCTGCGAGCCAGGCAGCGTGCAAGACGATAACCAGAGCTTGCCGACAGACAGGCTATGCGCGCACGCACGCACACGCACGCACACACACACACACACACACACACACACACACACACACACACACACACACACACACACACACACACACACACACACACACACACACACACACACACACACACACACACACACACACACACACACACACACACACACACACACACACACACACACACACACACACACACACACACACACACACACACACACACACACACACACACACACACACACACACACACACACACACAACACAACACACACACACACACACACACACACACACACACACACACACACACACACACACACACACACACACACACACACACACACACACACACACACACACACACACACACACACACACACACGCGCTGGCTCCTTACAAGTTCCTGCAGCGAGCCTTCATTCAACATCTTTTTTCCGGTGTGTGTCAGACGTTAGCATATGGTGCAGTGCGTCTTACGCTTAGGAGTCCAGGAACTCGGACATAAAATGGTCCACCTGGAGCACCGTGCTGCGCACAGGCCGCCGCCCTGCTTTGAGGGGGTGCTTCCAGCAGAATGACTTAGTCAACTCCAACTGGAAGTCCAAAGGCCGGCCCTTGGGCACTTCCAGGTCCTGGCGCATGCGCTTCTCCCGTTTCATCTCCTCCGTGTCGTTGGCATACACAGTCTGTAGCCACTCCGCCGTCCTCGGCATCGTGCAATGTCTTTTCTCTCTCGCCCCTTCGGGTCTCTACTTTGTCTGCGTCTTTGGCCGTCTCTCGCTCGTCTCTAGCTCTGCCGTGACTGAGCTCCGGACTGCGGGTTCGGGAGGAAGCTGAAGCCGTCTAAGCCCTCATCCACAGCGTTGCTGTGGAGGACCCGCCCCGACTCCATGTAGCGGGGCGGGCCCTCGTGCTCCCAGACCTAATCAAGCATTTGCTTCCTGTGTCTAGTCTCAAACCGTGGTCGCTTACACCCCGAGCCCGCCTGGAAATGGTAGAGCATCGCAGTCTCCGCCTTCACACGCCACAGCTGCAGGCACATGATCTCCTTACTGCCTTGGCTGCTCAAGTCGGAACCATTGCTCCTTTTCTCTCTCTCTCTCTCTCTGTCTCTCTCTCTCCCTCTCACTCGCTCTCTCTCGCCCTGCTGCCCCGCGACCCGAGGTGTGCAGCTCCAGCCGGTGGCGTAGAATCTCCCGGGGCTTGCTGTTGGTGGTCTTCATTGCGACCTAACGATGGATGACTGCATTGCCCTCAATTTCTTCCTGTCTCTCTCGGTGTGCTTCTCTGTCTCTCTCTTTCCCTCTCTCTCTCCGTTGCTCTGCTGTCCTAGGTCTCTGTCTCTCGAGCCTGCCTGCAACAGATCGAAGAAGTCCATGATCGGCCGAGGCGAAGCAAAGAAAGGACCAAAGCAAAGCGGAGCAGAGCCGGGAAGTCTGCAGACAGGAGGCCTCCAGTTGCAAACGCACCTAGTCTCACACACCGAGCGTGTCGCACCAACACACATGCTTCGTCAGCGGCTGCCTTATCCCTCGCTCTCGGTCTCCCTTGTTTTTATGCGGGCGCCTTGTTGGATGCACCGGCGCTCTCTATGATACAGGGGCTATAGCGACTCTTTGGTACGCCCCCCGCCCCCCGCCCTAAGTTCAGGACTCCTCCTCGCTATCCGTCGGCAGGAAGATTTGCAACTCCTCGATGCCGTCCTGTAGCCTGGCCGGCCGAAGGGGTCACTCCGCGACCTTGCCCGATGAGCCTCTGCAACTGAGCGCGGCACAATAAGTCGTCCAAGCTCCGCTGCGCCATAGTCCTGGCGAGACATGGTCGCTTCGTTTCTCACTCCGTTCTCTACTTCACTGCTGGGGCGCTGGCTGTAGCACGCTTTGTGCGTGCTTATACAGGCGGCTGTGGGCGGGGTACTTCATCATCACCTGAACCGGACAAATTCCAACACACCTCGGCAAACTCACGCAGGGGCCGGCCTCGAGCGCAATCATGCGCCGGGTCTTCTTCTTGTTCTTGGGCTCGGCGCGGATTTTCTTCCAGCGCTTCTCCGTGTCCTGGCGGGCGGGTGCGTGCAGGAAGCTCTCTAGTCTCACGGTGGCATGCGGCAGCCGGGGCCCGGGCGTCTTTCAGTCGCTCGTTCCGCTGAGTCACCTTCTTGAACCTCGAGAGACCTTCACTTCTAGGGTTCCCTATCCATAAGATCTTTCAAAGAGTAAGTTATCTGAGTTCAACTAAACCCGAAACACCTAAACCCCTAGACCCCCTGGAGCCCTAATCTTAAACCCTAAACCCTAAACCCTATGTAAACCCTAGACCCTAAACCCTGAACCCTAAACTTGGCCCTAAACCCGAAACCGGATGAAGTCGCCATCTTCCTCCAGCAGCCAAGGTCTCAGCAGGTCTCTGACATCCACGGCCTCTACCAGTCTAGGGTTTAGGATGTAGGAGTCTAGGGTTTAGGGGTTTACGGTTTGGGGTTTAGGGTTTAGGATGTAGGGGTCTAGGGTTTAGGATTTAAGGGTTTAGGGTTTAAGGTATAGGGTTTAAGGTTTAGGGGTTTAGGGTTTATTGGACATCCACGGCCTCTGCCAGTTGAAGCAAGTGCGCGTGGGCGGCCAAGGAATGTCCGCCTTGCCTGGAGATGAAATACCCTAAGGGTCCAAGTGCCCAAATAGTAGGGTTTCAAGTTCCAAAAACCATTCAGGGTATGGATTTGGGATCTAAAAACCCTACTATTTGGGTACTTGGACCCTCTGGGATAATGAAGGGTTTAGGGTTTAGGGTTTTTGTGGGGCGATATGCGTAGAAGCGCAAGGAGTTGGAAACCCAATAGCCTCAATCCTGAAGATTAATGTATAGGGAATCCCGGAAGTTTTTGGCCTTGATCCGGTTTCCAACTTTATGGGAGTTACCGTAATGAAGGTCTTGATAACGGAAAGAATCAGGGTTTACGGTTTAGGGTCTACATCACCCTTCATACGGTTGATGATATAAACCCTGCACTACCTTACTGACCCCAGAGTGTGGGAATTATGGTATATTCCTTATCATGCGTAATGCAGGATTTATATCATCAACCATAAACCCTAAACCCTGAACCCTAAAGCCCCTAAACCCTAAGACCCTAAACCCTTGAAAGAGGAGGCCCGTATACCCAGCTACTTGTTCCACTGCCTATTGCTATTCTCTCGGCAGCTCTTGAGTCTCCTCCCCCAAGCCCGATACGGGTGGCTGTCAAAATTAAAGGTCCCTTTTTGGGCACCTTAAATATTATGTGCCATATTATAATAGGGACCCAAAAAGGGACCCTAAGTTTGACAACCACCCATACAGGACAGGGGCCTCAATCATTAAGCTAGGGCTGTGGTAGTTTTTTTACGGTAAAGCTGTATTCGGGGCTATCTGGTGCTACTCCTGATTACCTGTAGACTACACCCTGCACTGTTCTTACTCCGTTTTGCAAAACCCCATGACCTATGGACAAAATACAAATGTCTCAAACATGCAAGGTGCACCCGAAAGCCCAGATACCACTTTATCGTCCCTACAGGTTCTGCTTCTCCATAGTTAAACACGCTAATTCGAGATCCTGAACATAGAGTTAGGTCACACTCAGATCCCATATACTAGTTCTAAAACTTGTCCAAACATCCTGGTTTATCCCCTAAACCCTAAACCCTATCTACTATGGGCCTCAGACCCTGACCCTTCTTCTTTCCCCCCGAAGCTCCCGACCCTAAAACCGACAGAACCCTAAGGGTCCAAAGGACCCAATAAGTACGTACTCGGGCTTAGGGTTTAGGGTTAAGGGTTAGTAATGTAGGTGACTATTGTGGAGAGTATATGGTAATTAGCTACTTGGACCCTTAGCGTAAGGACTCCCCCTACCTTGAAGCTCTGCGATCCCAACCCTTTAATTAGGGTTTAGGGTTTAGGGTTTAGGCTCAGGGTTTAGGGTTTACGGCTTAGGGTTCAGGGTTGAGGGTTTAAGGCTTAGGCTCAACGTTTAGGGTTTAGGGTTCAGGGTTTAGGGTTGCCTTGATAGTCCGAATAAGGTGTGGATAGTTCGAATAAGGTTTTGGGCTTCTTTATAGTATACTTATAATAAGGAAGCCTAAGGAATCATACTGGTAATTATTGAGAAGGACGATTAGTGCTGATTTCTCTTAAGGATTGAGGATATTGGGATTTCCAACTTTGGGGATTCTACTTTAGAAGAGGCCCCAACCCTGTAATAGTGGTATAATAGGAATATAATAGGGCCCTACTATAATCCTTATAGTCACTATTACAGGGTGGGGGCAGCTTCTAAATTCTACTGTAACCCTTACCTCCGGGAAACCGAGCTGCTCGCAAACGGCGAGAGCCAACGACAGGATCATCACCTTACTGGGCTTTGCATATTGCATGCTGCTGCATAGTCGCAGAAGGGCCTAATCGCTAGTTCCCAGAGACTCCAATATCCATTAAATACGGATATCCCTTAAGTTATAGTAGGATCCCTAATCGCATTTAAGGTATATTCCTCAAGTAAGGGATATTTGAGTCTCTGGGCTTGTTCTGTTTCGGGCTTTGGCAAGGTTTTTCAAGGGCTTTAGAAGCGTCTCATTCGATCGTAAAGTGTGCTGTCTTTTTGTTCGTACTGGTTCCGGCGAAGGGAGCGACATATAAGTTGCCATGATAAGGAAGACAAAAAAACTGCTCCACAGTAAACCTTGTTAATAACAAGAAGAACATACACGAACCATGTTCATACCGACCTTCTAACTGGAACTGTCAAAACTGCTTTTACAAACCCTGCGGAACCCTAAACAACAACAAAACCAACAAGCCGAGTCCACGAAAACAAGGCCCACAATCCCAAACCCTAAACTCTTAAAACCCCCTGAAGGAAACCCTCAAACAACGAAAGCGTGAGACGAACCCTGAGCCCTACTAAACCCTGGAGCCCCAAACCGGGACCCAGTCACTTCTGCATCTGCCACGCCTTTCTTCCCCTTAGGCGTTGCCTGGGCCAAAAGGTCCAATGCCAGCTGCCATTGCGTACCTGCTCCACAGGATTGAGGGCTCCACGGGGCTCCACTGTCTAGATGTTTCAATGGCTTAGAGTTTAAGTTTAGGGTTTAGGATTCAAGGCTGAGGGTTTCTTTAGGAGTGCCTGCACCTTACCGATGTCTTTACGTATCATACGATCATACGATTTCGAGAACAGTCTCGAGACCCTACATACCCGCAGGCAATCACGCCTCAAATCCAAAGGGAAGTGCAACACGTACACCTGCTTCCAAAACTATGCCAATCCCCCGAGTGCGCTTCCGATTTGGGCTAACCAACTAGAGGGGTGGTCCTTAAATTGAATGTACCCTAAGGGTCCATGTACTCATATAGTATATACATTGGCCTTAAAGTACTCCCTATATAGGTACATTGGGCCCAAAGTATATGCTATATGGGTACATGGACCCTTAGGGGTATTCGGAAACCCAGAGGGACTCACACTATCAACACGTCTTCAGTCCTCTACACGCTAAACCCTGAACCCTAGACTTTTCACAGCCCTGAAGAAAGCCTAGACCCTACTTAAACCCTCAACCCTAAACCGTTACCCTCAAACCCTAAACCCTAAAACCCTCAAACCCTAAACCCTAAACCCTCAAACCCCAAAAGCCCTAAAGCCCTAAACCCTAAAACCCTAAAACCCTAAACCCTAAAGCCCTAAACCCTAAAACCCTAAACCCTAAACCCTAAAACCCTAAAACCCTAAAGCCCTACAGCCCTAAAGCCCTAAACGCTAAAACCCTGAAACCTGAAGCCAGAGCTCTGAAGCCGAAACCCCGAAGCAAAAACCCTAGCCTGAACCCTAAACCATTCTAAACATTCCTAAACTCTACTGTGGGCAGTTATAAGTTATAAGTGCAGCTATAAGTCCCCTAATATCCCTAGGCTGAACCCTGAACTATCCCAAACATTCCTATAAACCCTACTTGGGGGTTCATGGGTAGTTATAAGTGGAGCTATAAGTCCCCTAATATCAGTTATAACTATTGCTGCCCTACTTATAACTCCACTTATAACTACCCATGAACCTCCAAGTAGACCCTACACCCTATACCCTTATGGAATCCCCATCGATCCCTTTAAAGGGGCCCTTAAAGGAACCCTTATAACTACCCATGCCCCTGAATCTCAACCCTTTGGTCGGCCTTGCTGCAACGCACGCACGGCCGCATTCCACGTGATCTCATTTCGCTGCAGCTCAGCGCGAGACATCTTCTTGAGCAGCTCCAGTGCCCCCTTGCAGGGCTTTCTGTTCGTTTGGGGTTCGGGGTTGGGGGAAGTTTAGGGTTTGGATCTAGGGAAGTTTAGGGTTTAAGGGTAGGACTAGGATGCAGGGTTTTCTGCGCGTTTGGGATTCAGGCTTGAGGGGTTGGGATTCAGGGGTTTCGGTCTATGTTTGGGGGATTAAAGGTTGCGGGTGTGACTCTTAATCGTTGTGTAAGTCAACACGGGTTTTGGTCGTCATCCTTTTGGACATGATGGTTGGTTCAGACATATAGACACATAGACAGATCAATAATTATATAGATAGATAGATAGATAATTCAGCAGAGATATAGACACACACACACACATGTATAATATATATATATATATATATCCATACATACAGATAGATAAATGGGTAGGGAGAAAGATTGATATATAGATAGAACCATTGATAGATAGAGAGAAGGATAGAGGTAGATAGGTAGGTCTTACGTAGATAGGCGAGTACTCCGTTAGCTGACAAAAACAGTCACTTTGCTCGCTAGCTCGCTTGCTAGTCAGTGTGTTCATTGCTGCTTCGTTTACGTTTGAAAGAACTGTCAGATAGCTGAGCAATGCAGGATTTGGGTGGTTCACTTAAAACGGTTTCGAGGTCTTAAGGGTTCGGTTCCTTCTGAGTTTTTCCCAGAGCCAGAGCTCTGTGATCAACAATGCAGACTAGGATACCCAGTAACCTAAGAATAAAAAGGCCTCTCTTTTTGGTAGTGGGTAACTTCATAAGGAACCTAGGACTACAAAAAGGGAATAAGGGTACTACTGGGCATCCTAGCAGAACTTTCTATATGAGGATCTCAGAGAAACGACGGCCTTGGCATATTGATATTTTAAGTTTTCAAGAAACCTCCAACCCCAAACCCAAGTCACCAAACGGTAAACGCCAAAAACCCAAACACTAAACCCTAAACCCCAAAACCCAGACACTGAACCCCAAACCCCCGAAAAACAGAGTCTGAACCTAAACATCAAGTCCAAACCCTAGGCCGTGTAACCCTAGATCCGAAATCTTATGCCCAGGTGCTAACAAGCAACCACTAAAACACCAAACCAGTGCACACATGAAGATAACAACAACACATGTAGACTGAATAAGAAGTATATAAGTTTAAGTGCGTTTGTGTGTGTGTGCATGTGTACATGTAGATACATACATACACAACTACTTACTTACATACATCCATGCGTGTATACATACAGTACATGCATGCATGCATACAGACTTAGCTCAAACACACAGACGAACAACCAACCACACGCACGTGATTGTATCTAGGAATCATGCATCCATCCATCCATCCATCCATCCATCCATCCATCCAGCAAGCCAGCCAGCAGGCCAGCCAGCCAGCCAGCCAGCCAACCAAACATCCAGCCGTCCGTGCATGCATGCAGCCAGGCAGGCATTCAGACAAGCAAGGGCACACAAGCAGGCAAGCAGGCAGCACAAACAGACAAACGGACGCACAAAAAGAAGCGGATAAAAATAGATACATGTGTCTGTCTGTACAAATGTTTCTATGTATGTATGTATGAATGCATGTCTGCATGTATGCATGTATACATGTATACATGTATACATGTATGCCTGTAGGCATGTATGCACGTGTGTACATATATTATATATAATATGCCCACTCACTCCAGAACCCTCCTAGCACCGTATCAAATATCAGTTCCTTACGAAATATTGAGAGCCCTTCAAGACTTCTCCAAACACCGCAATGATGTAAACATACCAAACACTTTTTTAAGACGACATATCCAACGTGTAAGCAACTAAGCAACACCTATGACGCCTCAAAGGAACAAGAACCTCACAACATTGAGCAGGATATATCCGGCCTGCCACAGCCCTGCGCCCTCGCAGGCACTGATGGCCACATTGAAGCTGATTGAATCTGCCTTGCGCTAACTCAAAGGTTGAATGAACCCATATAAGAGTGCTTCAATCATAAGGAACCGAAGGGGGGTAAGGGGGCTCAGCCTACTACCCCTCTCTTATGATTCACTGGGTTCCGCCTTTGGAACGTAAGGCTAAAGCAGCAGGGTCTGGGGTTTCCTATTGTAAATGCCTATAGTAGCCTTCAGCGGTGTAGGTTTAGGTTTAGGCTTGATGTAGACGCCGAAAAAGCAAACAGTGATATCTCTGGCAGCCACTGGACGCCGAAGCGAAACCCGAAAGACCTGAGCCCTGCGCATACACATGCTAGGAAAACGAACAACATGCATTGCCCCTATGCAGTATACTGGCTTACAGGTTTGCATCAGGTCTTATATCGCCATCACGGTCCCTCTGTAGCTGTACCAGACTAGAGCCGCCAAGACCCGCCTTTACACCTAAACCCTAAATCTTCAAAGCCCAAAGCCCTAAAACTGTGCAGAACCCTTCATGGAGCCCTTCCTTGCCCCGTCCCTGATCTTCCAACATCTCCTACCATTCATATTGAGGTTCCTGTTTCAATCTAAGGTCTTAGAGGCTGAGTACCCCAAACCCCAAAATGTTCAAGGTTACTGTAGGAACCTGATTAAGAAACCCTGGGCCTATAACCCCGAAATACTAGGATTCATACAAGGAACCCTAATAAATGCCCAAGGTTTCTTAATCAGATTCCTACAGATTCCTACAATACCTACTGTACTCAGCTCCTAAGTAGAGCCGGCCTCCAGGTTCTTCTTGGGCAGATCGGCGAGAAGCTCGAGGACCCTCTGCCATTTCCCCGCTCTTTGAAGCGCTGACATCGCTGCCTTGGGAACTAGACCCAAGAGTAAGCTGGTAATAAAAAGGGTGCTCGTTTTGGTTTAAAGGGGCTTACAGGGGAACCTGAACCTTTAAAAAGGGAATAAGGGCCTACTCTAGGTCCTTGGGAGAGCCGAGGCGCAGGGATTCGGGCGGTGGGCTTAAAGGGAACTCCAGAAGGTTGGAATATGGTTTCAGGGTAGGATACCCTATAATTTACCTTAAAGGGCTTAGGATAATGATATTCCAACTTTCTGGCTTTTACTATAGGGTTGAGGGTGCTTTAGGGGTTTAGTATTAGGGTTGAGGGCTCGGGGTTGAGGGTTTCAAGAAGGACTGTTGCGAGGTGCAGAGTTTAGGGTTTAGAGCCGGGCTTAGGGTGTACGGGTTTCGAGTTTAGGTGTGTGTGACTCACATTTGGGAGTTTCCGGAAAGTAGGGGGCTCGAATAAATGTAGTACCCGAAATAGTAGGATCCTTATTATATTATAAGGACCCCAAGATAAGGTACCCCTAATTTTTGGAAACTCTAAACCCTAAACCCTTCATAGAACCCTCATAGATCCCTTTAAGGAACCCTTAAAGGATCCCTTTTAAGGTACCCCCTAAATTTTCGGAAACGGAAAGTACATAGGACCCTTCGGGACAGAAAACCTCAACCTCCGACCCCTATGACACTATGACAGAAACACCCGTACCCGAGAAACCCGGGCCTTCCTTTAACCGCAAAACTCATAAAACCCTGAAGCCATAAAGCGCTATACACCTTATAAGCCATGTAAACTATATAAACCCGATGTAAGGACCCTTGAGGGCAAACCCTAAAGTGAACCCCAAAAAGTTGGAAACCTGATTCAGGACAAATAGTGCTGGGACTACCTTTACATTGCTCTTAAGAATTGAGGCTACTGGGTTTTTCTAAGTTTTGGGCTTCTACCCTAAACCCTATGAAGTCAAGCTGCATTGAGCACGGCGATGTTGGCAAAGGACCCGGGGGGCTCTTGGAGCCTCTTTTGAAGGCATGCCCGAGGCTTCTCTTGCGGAAGGGCAAACGGAGGGACCCTTAATAAGGACCCCTAGGCATATACCCTTAATATAGCTATTATATACCCATTATATAGCAAATTATAGGGTAGGGGTCCCCATTAAGGGTCCCTCCCTCCTTTTCCCCTTTGATTTTCTGAAGGGTCTAGGGCTTAGGGTTCTTTGTTGAGGCCTTACGACTTCTGGCTTAGGGTTCTAGTGTGAAGGGCTCTACAAGGGTTTTGTGGGAATTTAAGGGGTTTGGGTTTAGGGCCTATGCTTTCTCTCAAAAGTTCGTCTAATGAGAGCTTTGTTTGTAGGTTTTTGTGGGGCTGAGGGACGAAGCCCTGGGGCTTAGAGTTTACTTGGAGGGGCAGGGGACCTAGTAAGGGTTCTTCAAGGGCTCCTTAAAGGGATCTATAGGGTTCCTTAAAGGGATCTATGGGGTTTAGGGTTTAGGGTCTACTTGGAGGGGCAGGGGACTTAGTAAGTGGGTTATAAGTAGTGTTATAAGTACCTTAAATGGAGTTACCTCAATGATAACCCTACTTATAAACCACTTACTAAGTCCCCTGCCCCTCCAAGTAAGGCTTGGAACATAGTAGGGCTGAACGCTAGGGGGTTTAGGGCAAACGATATAGTAAGCAGACCCCGAAAATAGAAAGGGCAAAAGGGCACTACTGGGGAACCTACGGTTGATGACATAAATCCTGCATTACAAATAATCGGGCATATACCATATTTCCCATAGTCTGGGGTCCGTAAGGTAATGCAGGATTCAAATTTTTCAACCGCAGCAACTCTACTTAGAGGATCATGGGACTTAGTAACTAGGGTTATATCTAGGGTAACTACTGTATACTTATAACTACTTATAACCCCAATTAATTAAGGTACTTATAACCTTACTTACTAGGTCCTATGATCCTCCAAGTACCCATCTTGGTGGTCAGACAGAAAGCAACAAGAATTACTCTTCGGAGATCCGGATTAAAGGTGGCTTCATGCTACGACCCAAAATTTTCACTCGCCAAGCTTCACCACCAGCTTCCACCTACCAATTTCGCAATCCACAAGGATGTCTCACACCTACCAGAATCCCTACTTTAACGACACCCTGCTCCACGTGCTCTCTTTGATTCCCAAGCGACCCTAAATACCCCAAGACGCCAAGCCCTAAACCCCAAACGCAAGAACTGGACCAAGCAGCTCTTTGAGGGCAATTTCCCAGCGACCACCCGCGGCGCAAGCGCTGATGGCGGCGCTGCGGCTGAAGGCATCCGGGGCGACTTCCACAGAACGCATCTCCTCTTTAGGGTTTAGGGTTTGGGGCTTGAGGGTTTAGAGGAGTGAAAATTGAAAGATGCTTGTTTTGTTTGAAATCCCCGTCCGCAGACCGGCCTGCCAACGAAAGGTCGTTGACCAGTTGGTTTTGGCATTCAAGACTTAGAGGCTTAAGCCTAGTTAGGGTTTAGGGGTTCAGGGCATCATCTACAAGCGTTAGTACAGCTATCGCAATTAAACGCATGCTATGATGATTATTGTCAAACATCTTCACGGGGTCTTCGAGGAGGCTTGTTGCCGTTCTCATTTGTAGGATCCAAGAAGACCTTGAACTGTAGACTGAAAAACGAGCCCTACTATCCCACGTCCGTGTTGATGCGTCAGGGTCCAAGAAAGCTCCTAAAATGAAAACCGTAAGCCCTAACACCTAAAAAAAACTAGACACTGTCCTGATCTGCTAAACTGACATCCTGCCACTCGCAAATGTAGGGGCCTTAATAATTAGAATAGGGTTTTGGGGGGATATCATATTCCTATAATGATAATAAGGAACTCCCGAAACTTCATTCTTATTATTCAGGCCCCCCCCACACTGTGGATGGACAATATCCTGCATGACCCAATATAAGGAATATACCATATAATTCCCATAGTTTAGGGTCCAGAAGGTCATGCAGGATTGTGTCCATCAACTTAGACCCTAAACCCTCAAACCCTATAGATCCCTTAAAGGAACCCCTTAAAGGTTCCCTTATAGATCCCTTTAAAGGGAACCCTAGGATTTCGGAAAGATGCGTCCTGGAGCAAACAGAGCACTGGCTCCCACTGCCCCACGCGCGCGAAGGAGCTCAGAACCTTTCAGCATCAGAGGAGAAGGTGGGACCCTTAATAAGGACCCCTAGGTATATACCCTTAATATATAGCTATTATATACCCATTATCTAGCCCAGTATAGGGTAGGGGCCCATTAAGGGTCCCTCCCTTTCCCTTTGATTTCAGCATCAGAGGAGAGTCTCTTACTTTGAGGATCATGGGACTTAGTAAGTACCCTATGCCTCCAGGGACCTGATTATGAGGTCCTTCAGGGGTCTCGGGCCCTAACTATGAGGTCCTTGGAGGGAGAGGGGTAAGGTTGTAAGTACCTTAATTGGGGTTATAGGTAATTATAAGCATAGTTACCCTAGATATAACCCTAGTTACTAAGTCCCATGATCCTCTAAGTAGGGCCTGAAACAATGGGGTTTCAGTTTTAGAAGGCTTTAGCGTTTCGGATCTATAAAGGAGGCTTTAATCTTTAGGGCTTCAGGATGCTTTAGGTGTACGATTTTTAGAGGTTTAACAGGATTCAGGTTTTAGGGTTTACGGGTGTTCACTTCGAGCTTGAGAAGGGCTGCTGGGGATAGTTGTTTGTATACTGAACCATTTACCCATCTCTCCATGTCGATATTCACGGCTGTTTCCATCAATAACAAAGACCCATATCCCTGTTCAGTTGCATCTATGCACTTGAGTGCTTTCACTTGTTTCTCGTTGACGGCTCTGTTTGCATTGGGTCTGCAGCTTTCTGATATGTGTGGGTTTCGTGCTCGTGGGATGTACCCTAAAACCTGAAACCGAAACTCTAAACCGTGTGGGTTGTGAAGGTTTCTTGAATAGGTTGGGCGCATTGCATACCTTGAACTTCCCTGCGCACTAAGGTTACCTAAACCTTGTAACACCTGAAGCCCGGAAACCCCAATATAAACCCTAAAACCCAAAGCCCTGTCAAATTGTTAAGATTGAGCTGTTTGGGTTTCCCCAAAGTCAGACGCCTGGAGAATCAGAGATGCATATGTCGAGAGAAACAGAGAGGGAGAGAGAGTCAGAGAGAGAGAGAGAGAAACAGAGACAAAGAGAGAGAGAGAGAGAGAGAGAGAGAGCGCCCAACCGCCCTTAATCAATGGAAAACCAGCTCAAATGCAATAGGGCCTGGATGTAATTAGGACTTCAGGCATATTCCTTTAGTCCTAAGCATATAGTAGACCCTTAAAGCAGAAACCCTAAAGAAGCAGACCCTCAACACAGAAACCTGAAAACTACTACCTGGCTGAGTAACGGCATTGAAGGCCAGGACGTCCGGCAAAATTCTTTCGCAGGGCATCAGTGAGAAGAGCCTGGACTGTTCAGTAATATAGGGGCGATAATAGCTAGACTAGGGTTTTGGGGCCCATTATGCAAAAATTGTAATAAGGAGCCTCCAGAACAGCATCGGTCATTATTTAGGCCGCTGTAGCACAGTGACGCTTTTTGAACATGCGAACTTATTACTGTCTAAACTGGTGCTTTATACTACCTCTGCCAAGTCTATTTACAACACTGAACCCGTGATTCTCAACAGTGCGGAACATTTTAAACATAACTTTATTACTATCTCCGTGGTAATAGACAGTCCTGCCGCCCTCCGTCTTTTTCAAGCAACGCAACACATAAAAACTTTCTGGGGTCAGCTGTATTGCAAAAGGAGCCCAGAAATAGAATGGTACAACATGTACACCATTGACAAACGCTTAAACCCAAAACCCTGTGACACCCTTATCGAAGCCTAACCCTAAATCCCTAAACCCCTGAACCCTAAATCTTAAACTTAACCTTTAACGGAACCCCATTTAGAACAAACGGATACAAAAGCCTAAATCCTAAACACTCCCTATGATACCCTTATAGAACCTTTAAAGCAACCTGTGAAAAAAGCAAGAAAAACTATGATAACCTGTAAGAGCCTTTAAAACGAACCTGAACCCCTAAACCTTAAACTTAACCCTTTAAAGGAGCCCTTATAACTTTAACTCTAAACCGTTCACATTTGAAACCCTAACCTAAATTCTAAAGGAGCCCGTATACAAACAAAAAAGAGCACCCCACTGATGAGCCGAATTGCTGGACCCCTACACTCTAAACCCTAAACCCGAACTTGAAAACAAGAAACCCTAAACCCCAAAATTACGGTTTAGGACTTGGGGTTTCGCGTTACCTTAAACCCCTAAAGCCCTACAGTAAACCTCAAAAAGTTGGAAACCGGATTAAGGCCAAATAGTGTTGGGATTTCCCTCTACATAACTCTTGAGGAACGAGGTTATGGGGTTTCCAACTTTTGGGCTTCTACTGTAAACCCTAAAGCCCCGCTGAACAGCTTCGGAGCTGAACTCCTAAACCCTTTGTAGAACCCTCATAGACCCCGTTAAGGAACCCTTATAGACCCCTTTAAGGAACCCTCATAGACCCCTTTAAGGAACCCTTATAGGTCCCTTAAAGGACCCCTCATAGACCCCTTTAAGGAACCCTTATAGGTCCCTTTAAACGACCCCTAGGGTATCCGAGGCGCTGAACCCCGATCTCCCAGCGACCGGCGAGGTCACAGGCGCTGATGCTCGCGCTGAAGCTCGTGCTATCCTTAGGTGCCTTAAGGTGGCTTAGGGGTTTAGGGTTTAGGGGGTTTAGGGGTTTAGGGGTTTAGGGTTTAGGGTTTAGGGTTTAGGGTTTAGGGGTTTAGGGTTTAGAGGGTATCGCAACAAGCTCAGCATGTCAGTAAACCTAGTGCGCGATCCTCTGGGGCCCTCGCTAAATTGAACCGGAAAACCATCAGCGCCCGATAGACCTGCTACGACCCTGGCACACCCTTGTCATACCCTGCAAAACCCCACATGAAAACCCAGGCCCTGTAAAACCCAAAGTCTTGAGTCCCCTATGGCAACCTCTGTAAGCCCATACCCTAAGGCTCCTAGGGTTCCTTGAAGGGATCTATAAGGGTTCTATAAAGGGTTTAGGGTTTAGGAGTTTAGGGTTTAGGATACTAGAGTCTACCCTAAGGCTCCTAAGAGGGTCTTGGGCTGTCTGGGGGAGGGTTTCGGCTTTGGGGGCTAGGGTCCGGGATCTCACTACTGTACAAGGGTCCAGGAGCCTTAAGGTAGGTGCCAAAACTTGAAACCCTGAACCCTGAACCATCCCTACTCCCTTAACTTACCACACTGTAGTTCACAAAAATACTTCAACATACTATAATCTACTATAACTTACCATACTATAGTTACAAAAGTTCACTGAGCCATGCAGTTTAAGCCCCAAGCCCTGAACCAGGGCCCTAAACCCTGACTCGAAACCCTAAACTCAAGGCCCTAAACCTCTGCTAAACCCCTAAACCCCATAGATCCCTTATGGACCCCTTTAAACGAACCCCTGTAGATCCGTTGAAACAGCCCTACTTGGAGGGTCGGGGAACTTAGTAACTGGTTATTTTGTAGAGTTATAAGTACCATAACCCCAATTAGGGTCCCTTTTAGGGTACTTATAAGTCTACTTACTACCTACTTACTGAGTCCCTGAACCCTAAATCCTATAGTACCCCTATAGAGTCCTTCAAAGGAAACCTTGTAATCCCCTTTAAAGGAGCCCCTACTTACTAAGTCCTCCGACCCTCCAAGTAAACCCTGAACCCAAAGCTGCTAAACAAGGACACAGGCAAGAGTCCCTCTGCAGTGATAGAGTTGGGAGCTCCCATAGGAGCCATACAGCTCTCCTTGGCTGGCTTTAAGGGTTTGGGGCTTTAAGGCTTTAGGGTTTAGGGGTTCAGGGTTTAGGGTTTAGGGATTTAGGTTTAGGGGTTTGGGGTTTAAGGTTTTTGAGGGTATTAGGAGGGTTTAGGGGTATAAGGTTCAGCTAATTCTTGAATGTCGGTGACATAGGGGCTTGTAATAATTAGAGTAAGGTTTCTTGTTAGGCTCTGTGGACTTTTGCAAGGGGGGCTGATACGAGCTACAGTTACAAATCATATACAGCCTTCATCATTGGTGCTTCAAGGTATTTTACTACACAGAATGTATATAGATAGCTGTGATCGGGACAACCAACCCCCAGAAACAGCTTTACTAACTCCTCATGCTTTTAAATAAAAGGGCTTGTTCGGGCTTGAGTCTAGGGTCTGGGTCATTGAAATGGGTCAATCCTTGCAACACCCTGTAAACATCTCCAAGATCCATTCCCTCCGGGTGCAACGGTTGATGATAAAATTCCTGCATTACCTTAAGGACCCTAAACTACGGGAATTATGGTATATTCCTTATTATGGATAATGCATTATTTATAGCATCAACAGAAGTACCCAATATTTACATATATGGCTAATTCTCTGGATTCGGGTCCCTTCAAGATGTTTTGAAAGGGTGACGAGCCATTTTGCAGAGAACAACCTACATCCTCTCCCAGACAGAAACCGACAAAACCAAACCCAGTTGCTGTTGCAATCTGCCCCTGGAACCTGAGGACAATCCCTTACAAAATCCTATAAATCCCTCATGGCACCCTCATTAGAACACCGAAAGTAGAAGCCGGAGAATCGGAACATGTCTATCCTGATGCCCTTGAGGTCGGGTTGGCAGCTTGGGTTTCAGAACATAGAGGTAAGGTTAAAGAGCCTCATAGCCAAAACCATGAGAGCTGCCTACATTGTGCTTGAGCTTCTGCCACTGCCCAGCTTGGGTGCATGCCCCGATGGTGGCATTCAAGCTGATCACATCCGGAGACATAGCCTTGCTCGTGCAGTCCGCTATTATCCTATTTAGGAATTGGAATCCGGCTGCGCTAATTACAATAAGTACACAAACATGATCTCTGGGATGGAACAAGAAGTAGGGCTTTCAGGTTAAATTCAGTGAATATAAGGGGCAAATTTCTGGAACGCAAGCAAGGAAAAACGGCTACTGCCTCGACTAGCGGGAAGCTGCACTTGCGAAGACGTCGAACAGGACGTGCAAGGCCAGTGCCCATCTGCCGCTTTGCTGGCATGCATTGATGAGGGCATTGAAGCTGATTACATCCACACCTCGGTTCCAGTGTACCCTCTTCACAGTAAAGGACACCCTTCACTCTCATTAATTGTTCAGCTTAAACAATGGGACCGCCAAATGTGGGCAAATCCGCTATATCCCAACAGAACCCCTTAGCCGTCACAACCCCTTACAGACCGTTCGAAGTATCCCAGAGTCGTACTACTGGGTGACCCAGGCACCAAGCCTGATTCCCAACATCTCCTCCAGCAGCGCGGCTGCGATCTGCCACCTTCCCGCAGCCGCACACGCGCTGATACAAGCATTGTGAGCGACTCTACCTTGGCCGGTGGAGGTTGAGACTTTTTTCACTTGGGTCTGTAAGGTTTCTATACGAATTTCCCCGGTAACCTCGAGAAAATCAGCGTACCCTTGTTTTTCCCACTGCTCAGCCGGAATACGGAGCCCCTGAATCGAAAAACCGTCTCGATCCTGGAGAAGCTGTGAAAAGAGCACCCTTATATACATCCTTAAACCTTCGGGGCTGAATACCCTAGCCCCCCAAAAAAGGATAGCATTTTTAGTTATGGCAAGGTTATATTGGGTGGTTTCCCAAATTATGGTCCCTTTTTTGGGTACCCTAAATAATAGGTGCCGTGTTATAATAGTGGGGACCCAAAAAGGGACCCTTATTCAATTCTGGTTGAAGCTTACCTACCCAGCCCCTAAGACACGGACCCTTGCATACCTTAGACCCTTAACCCGCATAGATCCCTTATACCACAAACCCTAAACACTAAACCGACCCTAAAACCTAACCCTTCAAGGAGCTCTTTAAGGAACCCTAGGAACCTAGTTAAACAGATCTGGATGCTAGCCTCCACTGTTGCCAAAGCCATCCTCGACAGAACCTGAAGAGCCACCTGCCATGCCAGACCAGTGCAGGCGCTGATGGAAGAGCCGAAACCTGGGTTCTGATTGAGTTTAGGGTTCAGGGGTTTAGGGTTCAGGGTTCAAGGGTTTAGGGCTCAGGGTTTAGGGAGGGTTCAGGGAAGCGCCGAAACCTGGCTTCGGGCCTTAGGGCGTCGCAGGGTTCCCTTAAGGGTTCCATTAAAGGGATCTATATACACTATACTGAATTTAGAACCTAGCAAAAATTATGATTTTAGCTGTTTCTTAGTAGGGATTATAATAACCAAAAATTGAAAATAATTTCTAAGTACCCCTAAGCGTAAGGGTGTTGAGTTTAGGGCTTGAGGACTTTGGGGTTCCCTACTTAAGGGTTTAGGGTTTAGGGTTTAGGGTTCAGGGTTTAGGGTTTAGGGTTTAGGGTTTAGGGTTTGGTGATCTACAAGGCTTCTTGTGGAAGAGCCGAAACCTGGATTCTGGTTGAGGAACCTGGGTTCGGGATTCCTGGCTTAATTCAGGTTTAGGGGATTAATTAGGGTTCAGGGTTAAGAGATCTGCGCTTCGGGGTTCAGGATTTGGAGTTTGGGGGTTTAGGGGTGTATGGGTGTAGGGCTTGAGGGTTCAGGGTTCAGGGAAGCCGAAACGCGAGTTTCTTGAAATACCTTGTAAAGCTACACAAATCAACTTGCGCAAATATCTTCAATTTCAAAGCTGCTCTGAAACCTTACACAATGTCTAACTGAAGCCCTGGAGGCCTAAATCCCGAAACTCTAAAACCTCCAGAACATCATCCAAAACTTGGAGGCCTCAAAAGGTGGGATGAAGGCAGGTAGGATGAAGGATCCCTTATATAAGAACTCTTATTTTGCGATTACCCCACCTACCTTCATCCCACAATTTGGGGCCTCCGATACGGGACCCAGAAACTCTTCACGTCCGCCTGCACTCCGGCTCGGGGCATCGTCTCCAGCAGCTGCAATGCGACTTCCCACTGCCCGGCTCTGTCACAAGCCCCCAAAACGGCATTGTAGCATACCTTGCTGGCTTCAGGCTCTAGGATCTAGAGCTCTGAAGTTAGTGTTTCGGTGTTTTCAAACAGCAACTCCTTGTTCCGCTTGCTAAGGCCACCCTACTGAATTACATCAAGCCACCAGGAAAGTTCAAAAGGCTGCTTATTCAAAGTCGAGGTTGCCGCATCAACATGACCTCCGAAGCTGAACAACAGATCCAGGGCTGACTGCCAGTGCCCGCCCTTACCGTATGCGGTGATGCCTGCACTCAGGGCGATGACATCCGTTCGCACTCTACCTCGCCGCATGTGGCCCAAGAGATCTAGCGCCAAAGACCACCGCTCACAACGCACGTGTGCGCTGATACAGCTACTGAAGACGATGGCATCAGCTCGTATGTCTCTCCCCAGCATCTGTGCGAAGAGCTGCCCTGCAACCTGCCACTGGCTCTGCTTCTCACAGATGCTGATGGTAGTACCTTAGGCCATGCTATCAGGGAACCCTGACGAATCAGGCTACCTTACCATTATCAGCCCCTGTAGAACCCCGTCCAAACCCCTCGTAAAGTAACCCCTCGTAAAATCCGATGCTTTGTTCTCTCTCCTGTTTACTTACAACTCCACACCCACAATCCGATATCGTACTTTCCCCAAAAATCCGCAGCAATAAGCGGCTTTCAGACTACTACGAAACTTTTGGTTTGAAAAGTTAAAAAGGCTGAATGTTCAAGACATAAGAGTCAAACCTGAACGTTGAAAGCTCGGCATATAGGAGTTTCCGAAAACAGGGGAACTAATATAGTACCCTAAATAGTAGGATCCTTATTATAAGGACCCCAAAATCAGGTACCCCTCAATTTTCTCAAACTCCCATACCCTAAGGGTCCATGTACCTGAATAGTATACACATTGGCCCTAAAGTAGTCCCTATGTAGGTACAATGGGGCCAAAGTATATACCATTTGGGTACATGGACCCTTAGGGATATGCTCATACTAGGATACCCAGTCACCTAAGAATAAAATGGCCTCTCCTTTTGGTATTGGGTAACTTCATAAGGAACCTAGGACTACAAAAAGGGAATAAGGGTACTACTGGGCATCCTAGTTTCTCAAACTCCCATATGCTCCAGAATGTAAGTCGCTCTTGAGACGGGAACCCCTGGAACAACGGGGGGGCCAGCTTGGGTTACTTACATTTCGGTGTCCTTACTTTGGGGTTCTATTTTCCGAGATCTCTTTAAGGGCTCAAGGGTTTAGTGAAATACCTGGCTTTATTACCCTAAGAGGCGAGTTGAATAGAAATGATGGGAGAACTTACTGCGCTAAGTGGGTAACCTGAGCTTCATCTAGTTTAAGGCTTAAGGATGGGCACTATGAGGTGCATACTCATTAACGGTTCAAAGAACAGTAGCGTAGTATAGCTCCCTGTTCAGCAAGCTGGGCCATTAAGGCTTGGTACTGAAGCTGATGACATCTTCCTGCACCTGCGCTCCCTGCATACTTGACAGCAGCTCCAGTGACCACTCCCATCCCACTCCCTCACATGCACTGATGGCAGCATTGCAAGTGACCACATTGGCTTGAAGATTGACTTCCGACATCCCCGAAAGCAAAAGCAAGGCCAAGGACCATGCTCTCCCTGAAGCGCATGCGGTGATGCATGCATTATACGTGATGACGTCTGCCCCGAGTCTTCTGCTGCAAATCTCCGAAGCTAATTCTAGTGATCGCGGCCATGGTCCGACACCCCTGTTGCAGGCAGCAATCGCCGCATTGAAACCTAGGTTCCTGAGTAGCCCCTTCATAATAAGGGTGCTCTTTTTCCTAACCGTAGCTTTTAATACTGTTGATGATATAAATCCAGCATTATCCATAACAAGGAATATACCATAATTCCCATAGCTTTGGGTCCTTATATCATCAACCGTACGGAGACCCAAAAAGAAAAAGGGCAACTGGGTACTTCTCAGGACCCTAGAAGCTGATCGTGTTCGCAACGCAACCGGCTGATGAGAGCAGTGACAATGCCAACTCCCATCTTCCGCCTTTCTCGCAAGCGCTAATACCTGGGCTCTTGCTACGGGGTTGCATTTAAGTTAATTACCATAATAAAGAACCGACATTTGTTTTACCATAGACCTCTATTGTGCTAACTTAAGGGATTGCATTTAAGCTGCCATAATAAAGAAACAACATTTTTTACTATAGATCTCCATTATGGTGACTTAAATTAAGTTCCTTAACAGGAGCCCAGATGCTAGCACCCAGAATCCGTACATTCTCAAAGGCTGCTCCCGGAATCTCCAAGACAGACAGTGCCCTCTGCCACTGTCTCTCTTTACTGCATGCACTGATACCCAAGACGATGCTGCCGGAAGAGGGTTGACAATTCTCCTTACAGGTCCCGGACACAACGAAAAGATGAGAAGCTTACTGCCCCGGAACGGTATCCAGTACCATGGGGTTTCACACATCGCAGTGGGTTGGTGAGAAAAATGCTCCAAAACCTTGTACCTACACGCTATCTGTAGCCCCCAAGCCCCACAAAGTTGTAGGTTAAACGGTTAACCCCCCCCGTAATCCTTAACGAAAAAGGTATAACTGTATAACCTCAACACAAAACAAAACTCCGAACCTGGCCCTGACTCTAAAGACTACCCAAAGGCCCCAATGTAGTTCCTTTTTGGGGTTCATATTTAGACTTCTATAAGGTAATCCCAAGAAGGAACTACTATGGGGCCTATGGGTAAACCCCAAACCCCAAGGATAACAAGACTCAACCAAATACGGAGGCTTCTAGTTCATGGTTGGGATAGGATTAAAAATCTGAATTTCTATTCCTTATTGGGTTTAAGTACCCATAAAAATGTAAAATTTTTACCCAGCCCTATAGATCCCTTTTAAGGAACCCTGCAGATCCCTTTAAAAGAACCCTAAAGATCCCTGAAAAGGGTACCCAACCATGACAAAGGCTTAAGGAGGAGACCGAGATGCTTCTACACATCCCAATTACCCTAAGGGTCCATGTACACAAATAGGCATCCTTTCAGGATTCCTTTGAGGGTTGCTACACCTTTGAGGGGGCACTTAAAGGGTAAGAGGGTGTCGTAGAGTCTTGGAAAATGTTCGTGTTGTGTGTCTGCGTGCTTGCGTGTTGTTAAGGGGCGCACCCTTAAACCACATGAAACCCTCTTATTTAGCCTAAACCCTAAACCTTCTAAACCCCTATCCTAAACCCTAAAGCCCCAAACCCTCAACCCTAAACCTAAACCCTAAACCGAACCCTAAACCTTCTTAACCCCTAACCCCCAAAGCCTTCCAGGTATCCGAGAGGGGCTCGGTAATGGAGTGCAGAGCCCTTCGCCACTGCAATGGCTCGTGACGACGATCGCAGACCATGGGCTTAGAACCATGGTTTCGGGCTGCCTTTTTGGCAGTCTTCTATAAGTGGTCTGTATTGTTGCATTGGGTTCGAAACTACGGCTCGTTTAAAAGGTGCCTTTTGTTAGGGCTGTGTTCGCTATCACAGGGTTTATGTTATGACGGTTTCAAAAGCTTCGGTCCGGTTCGGGATTTTGGGTTTAGAATTGAGGGCAATGGGCTTGGAGGGTGTATAGGGTTTGGGATTGAAGGTTGAGGTGGCCGGCGATGCTCTCCAAACTCAAGTAAATACAGTAGCGGCATTGCCTCCAACATACTAGTTGAATACAGAAGCCTACATAACAAGATCCTTATTGGAGGTACGGTACCCCTGAAAAAGGACTCCCAGCTATCTGGGGTACCTGCCTGAGCCACCAAGAACCTCCCTATACAATAATTAATTGATCAAGCCCTGCAAAACGTCCCAAACCCAAAACCCCTACAGTAAATCCCAGAAAGTTGGAAACCTGATAAAGGACAAAAAGTGCTGGGATTCTCTATACATTGCTCTTAAGGATTGAGGCTATTGGGTTTCCAACTTTTGGGCTTCGCCATAAACCCTTAAAAGTCATCTACCTCCTCTCCCTGAGCCGAAACAACAGCGACCTTACAACCTTGGACTCCGGCTCCCTTCAGAAGGAAGCCGAAGAAACCAAAATCCTTTGAGCTTCCTGAACTAGGCTGTTCAGTAACCCACTGGGCAAACGTATATACTTACTTTTGGGCTACTTATTTTATAATAGAAACCCAGAAACCTGAGAGCAAAAAGGTGTACCACTGAACAGCCTGGCGAACCCAAGGAGCAGAACCCAACAAAGATCTAACACCTGAGCCTTATGCGCACAGGAGAGTGACGGGCAGACGGTTTGTAAGAGGCACGATCGGGAACACATGTACAGGGGCATAGGCTGTTTCTTGTTACCCTAAGGCTCCATGTAATCAGGTAGTATATGCTTTGGCCCTACTACAGTACCTATATAGAGACTGCTTTACGGTCAAGGCAAATGCTATATGGGTACATTGACCCTCTGGGTTGGACTGGGTTCTGAGTTGCGTTTCACACTTTACTCTACTGAACTTAGAACCCTAGCAAAAATTATAGTTTTAGCTGTTTCTTAGGGATTATAATAACCAAAAATCAAAAAGTATTTCTAAGTACCCCTAAGTTTAGGGTTCAGGGATTGGGTTTTGGGGTTGAGGTTTCCTTCGTATGTTCAGCTCCTGGACCCCCCCTTGAGATCCCAAAACCCCTTTTGAAGGAATTTACCTTACCCTAAGGCTCCAAAGAGGGTCCTGGGCTCTCTGGGGGAGGGTTTCGGCTTTGGGGGCTAGGGTCCGGGATCTCACTACAAGGGTCCAGGAGCCTTAAGGTAAATTATAATATTAAGTTCCCTATGCCTAAAAAAGGCGTATTGGGGTCTCTGGGCCTATAACAGGAAACCTCGTTCTCTTGCTTTACAATGGACAAAAGGTGTACTACTCATCACACCTTGCAGGAGGGGGCTTTAGGGTTTGGGACCTTGAGGAAGTTTTTGAGATTGAACTAGTCCCAATCGAACCGTAAATGAACAAACTGACCTGAAGCCATGAACCCAAAATGAGCCCTGGGCGCACTTCTTCTCCATGCCATCGCAATTGAAACCGTAGCGCGCGACGCATTGCTGGTTAGTGAGCGACACCAGGACAGGAGTCTCTGTGCCATCACTGGGATCAGCAGGGCTCGTAGCAATTGCTCACTTGACGTGCGCCTTCTGCTCAGAAGAGTGCCTGGTCCTCGAAAGTGCATTCCCCAAAATTCCTAGGCACTCTTTATGTGGAATACTTCCCCAAATCGTAAAAGTAATTCCTCATGTAGAAACCCCACATTCTCCTATATAGGTACTTATTATTGGAACTCTTAAAGCAACCCTAAGCCCTTCATGGAACCCCTGAAGAACCATACATTCTACCCTAAACAGGAACTTTCGACCCTGTGGCGAAACCCCAAACCCTCATCGAAGCCCTTATAGGAACCTTTATGGTAACCCTTAAAGGAACCATTACTTAAAGGAACAACCCTAGACCCAACAGTAAGCTAGGAATAAACAGGGCGCCCTTTTTGGTTTAAAGGGTCTTATATTAAGGGAACCTGAAACCAAAAAAAAAAAACTGAATAAGGGCCTACTCTAGGTCCTAGAACCCTATATAGGTATTTCAGACCCTTTGGCCTCGAGGTGCTTCCCGATCGCAGCGCTCCACCAAAACCGAGGTCGCCACGTTCATAAGGAGCCTTAGGGGGGTAGGGGGCTCCTTATAGGGTTTAGGGTTTAGGGTTTAGGAGATCTATAGGGGTTCCTTAAAGGGGTTAGGGTTTCCGGGTTTTAGGGTTTAGGGTTTTTGGGGCTTTAGGGTTTAGGGTCTTGGGGTTTTAGGGTACGGTTGAGCGCTAGAGTCGGCCCCTCGGCTTGGTAGCGATCCCAGAGACTCCAATATCCCTTAATTAAGGAATATTCCTTAAATTATAGTAGGATCCCATATATGATTTAAGGAATATTCCTTAATTAAGTAGGGATATTGGAGTCTCTGGGATTGAGGCTCCTCCGGCCCTTGCCGAAAGTGTGACTGTAATGTAGGGGCCTCAACCACTATGGGCTATTAGACCTTATGGCTACCTTAATCTACCCTTAATAGGGTCCGAATAGGGATCTTTAGGGTCTAATAGCCCATAGTGGAATAACAATAGTTATAGTAAGGAACCCCAGAATGGTATAGGTACTCATTTAGGCCACCATGGTAAATGCATGAAGAAGACCCAGAAGGTGCTAAGTACCTGCATATCAGCAGAAGGTAAGTTCCCCAAAACAGAAACGAACATTCTGGAATTTTTTGAAGGAACCCCATCAAAAGAACGGATCCGCTGGGAGATTAGCCCTGGCGTTGCCTTGCTTCGACGGCTTCGCCGGCCACGGCATCCGAGAGCAAAACACCTCGCGTGCAAAAAAGGACACCATTTAGAGGCTGCCGGGGACGTTCATCAAGATGTCTGAGGGTGGTGATGTTGGTCTTGGTGGCCTTGGCGGTCTTGGTAATGACTGTGCTGGGGACGTCTGTCAAGTCTGTCAAAGGACTGTGAGAAGTTCCACACCGGATGAGGAGTACTTCGAAAACCTAAACCCTAAACCCAGATTAAGTCAGCTTAGGGAACCTTTGAAAGCCTAAGGCTTGGCAAAGGCCGATTAAAAGCTTCGTCGGTAATGGCCGAAAGCTAAAAAACTTAAACAGGACATGCACCCTACAAGGGTTTGGGTTTAGGCTTCATGGCCTAGGGTTACCATGATATAATGATTCACCGTATGAGGCTGCATTGCATTAACTTTCAAAGGTCTTATGGTCCCAAAGGGTGACCAACTCTTGCCCTTGCCCGGGAAGGTTTTGCAAGCGCCCCGTGCAGAGTACACCCTCCCATAATCTTCGCTGTGATTGCACCATTCACCCTAAGTTTGCCACTTGCGCACCAAAGCTATTATATTGCCTTATAGATCCCATTTATGGAACCCCGCAAGGACCCCTTAAAGGACACCGGAAAAGTTCTAGAAAACATGCAGCTTAACGTCGTGGGCAAAGGGCGAATCTTCGAGCGGTGTTGCGCTCGACACACGGGGTTTCAGCATCGGGGTTGGGGTACGGTACCTATAGGGTCATACCCTGTCCCTTTAGAGGACCTACTTTTCTGAGATCCTTGCCACACAACTAGGTACCCTAAACAAGGGGCAGGGTATGACCCCATGGGTAAGAGGAGCAGCAAATAAGGAAAACCAAGCCTTTACATAGCAAGAGTTCAGGGTTTAGGGTTTACAGGGCCCGAGGAGTGTAGGTTGAAAACGATACTATAGGGGCCCCAATAATTAGAATAGGGTTTTGGGGGCCTTTTATCCTATAACCATAATAAGGAACCCCCACGACGGTATAGGCAAGTATTTAAGTCAACCATTAGATCATGATTTCGGGCCTTTGAGTTTCGGGTTTGAGGTTCGAGGTGTTCAAGATTGAGGCTCCCGGAGTTTCTGGCTTACAGGGTGGGTTTTGGTTTGGGGTTTTCGTTTAGGGTTTAGGGTAACGAAGTGTCATTGTAGGGTACATAGAACTCCAGGTCTAAGATTCTGCGCCCAGGGCTGTGTCACTGGCACATGGGACCATGCTGGTTTTGCAGATTTCCCTCGCTGGCTGTCTGGGCAAATCGCGTCCACCACCAAGGCCTAAACTATTTCAAGGTCAAGAGTATCCCAGTTTAGAGCATCCGCATGGCTGCTACGTGAACGGAAGGAGCTACGACATGTAGCCACTGGCCGAAATAATCAATGAAAGTTAAAATGCTGAGTTGCGCTCCGTGGCCAGTCACTGTAGCATACAGGGCTATGTAGGAGAATCAAGAACGACTGATTTCTGGGGAATTTCTAGGGTTCCGCCTCTCGGTTCGTAGCAGTGTTCCTGGCCGGCAAATGCAGATCAGCTGCACCTGTGGGGTAGCTCTATGCCACTCAAAATGCGCATGTTGCGCTGCGGCCAAATGCCCGTGCGCCTTGGGCTCTCACTCACTGTGCGCCGTCTGTTCTTGTGTCCAACCCCTTCCTGACGTGGCGACCACGCTTTGCGTGGCCGTGGTGCTTGTGGTGAAGCCACCTGGGTTCTTGTTCAGGAACTTAATTCGAGTTACCATAATACGGAAACCATATTCTTTACTAAAGGTCCCAGTATGGTAATTTGCATAGAACTCCATCACAATTCAAAGCAACCTCGGGATGCGAGGAACGCGCTTGTGGTAGTAGCTGCCATCTCCGGCATTGTCAGTCGGCTCGCTGCTGCCATTGTCGCACTCCACCGATACCTTAGGCACCCCTAAACCCTAAACCTCAAACCCTAAAGATGCGCGAGATGGAACCTCTAAGAGTTGGAGGTCGAGTAGTTCAGGGCTTAGGGTTCAGGGGTTCAAGGTTTAGGGTTTTAGGGTTCAGGGTTTAGGGATTACCATGACAGGAGCTCACAGGACAAATCCCAAGGTGCTGAAAAGCGCTTCTGACTGGTGCTTCCCGCCACATCGGTTGCAGTGCACGTCACTTCCTAGGTGGGCTCTTAGGGTTTAGGGTTTAGGGTTTGGGGTTTAGGATTTAGGGTTTGGGGTTTAGGGTTTAGGATTTAGGGTGTTGGGTTTTAGGTTTTTTAGGGTTTAGGACCTATTGAAACAGTTTCGTACAGCAGAATCCTCTTTGGCCCAACAATGGCCCAGAGATTCCAATGCACCCTTAATTAAGGAAGATACCTTGAATGAAAGGGGTTGCTATTCTGATTTAAGGTACAATCCTTGAATAAGGCGGATTGGGATCTCAAGGGGAAAATGTACAATGCCCCAAAGGCCTGCCTAGCTGCTGTTTCGCCGACAGTGAAAAGGGACCCGGATGAAGGACTGCAAGAAGTTGAAACACCTGTTTGGGGTGTAGGGTTTAGGGGCGTAGGGGTCGAGAGGCTTTGGGGTTTAGGGTTTAAGGTTTAGGGTTTGGGGTTCAGGGCTCAGGGTCTGGAGGCTTAGGGGTGTAGGGGTCGAGCTGCTGAGGGATTCGGGAGTTTCCGAAAAGAGGGGTCCCGAATATACTACCCTAAACAGTAGGACTCTTATCATAAGGACCCCCAAATAAGGTACCCCTAATTTTCGGAAGCTCTGATTCAGGGGCTGCGAGATGTTCAAGCACCTGGGCAGTTGTCATCCGCTGTAGGCGCGAACGTGACGGTCGTCGGGCTGCAGGACTGCACCTGTTATCTTGTTAAGTGAGACGGTTGATGATATATGATCCCGGTTCTCGGTTCACCGACCCCCCCCCAATGGTATCCCCCCCCGCTCCCCAAGCCGAACTGTGCAAGCTTTTTCCACACGAGGGCTCACACGCCAAGCAGACCCACGCAGGAAACCCAAACCAGACCACACCACAGGGGGGAGTGGGGCGAGCTTTTTCCACAGGAGGGCTCACACGCCAAGCAGACCCACGCAGGAAACCCAAACCACACCACACCACAGGGGGGAGTGGGGTAACCAGCCTAAGCAGACCCACTCCCGAACCACACCACACCACAGGAAGGGGGGGGGGCAACCCACAACCACACCACACCACAAGGGGGGAGGAGGAACCATTGGGGGGGGGGAGAAGCGGGGGCCGGCCGAACCGGGATCATATATACCCTAGGGTTCCTTTCAAGGGATCTAGAAGGGTACCTGTAAGGTTCCCTTTAAGGCATGTATAGGGTTTTAAGGTTTAGGTTGATGATATACATCCTGCAGTACCTTAATGAACCCAGACTGTGGGAATTATGGCATATTCGTATGCAGGATTGATATCATCAAGAATTACCGTAATGGGGATGCATGGCAAACAATAGGGTTGTCCTCGTTACGGTAAGTTAAAGCCAAGATGCTATAGGGGCCTAAACAGTTGCCAATTTCACTTTGGGGTTCCGAACTACAATCATAGTATCATGGGCCTTAAAACCTTATTCTAATTATTGAGGCCCCTAAACTATAGAACCCTATTATGTCTCCCTTATAGAACCCTGTACAGCATCCTTTTAAAGGAACCCTATTCTAATTATTAAGGCCCCTATACTACTTGACTTTAAAACCTCATAGAATTCCCACACAGGAACCCTTAAAGGACCCAGAGGTAACTGAAGTAGAATGCTTAAGGAACCCCTTAAAGGGCACCCCATACCCTTAAAGGAACCCTTGAGGAACCCCTTCAAAGGGGACCCTATTTTAAACCCCCTACAGTAATTTATAAGGGGACCCTTATTATAGAACCCTATGGTACCCTGTAAACCAAACCCCAAACCCATTCCTTTGCTGCAAGAACCCAGGCACGTCGATGTTGGGAAGTGTGCCGATGCTTGGATCTTCGAGGTCATTGACCTGGACCTGGGCTCTTTTTCCAGGGTTTTGGGCTTAAGGTTTAGGGTTTTAGAGTCCGAAGTTGAGGGTTCAGGGTTTGGGGTTTAGAAGCCAGGGTCTAGGGTGACGGGCTGAGAATAGCTACAACAGAAAAGTCCTGCTCAAATGGCGTGCTTACATACATGGATACCTACATATAGTCCGTACATGCATGCATGAAACAGGTGCTACACTGCTACAGCCACTGGTACATTGGAAATAATTGTCGAGAACGGCCAAGGAACGACGAAAGATTCCGACGAGGCAGTGTTGCCAGAAGCATCCGTGGCGCTGCATGTCACATTGGTGGTACCGACCGGAAACGTTGTGCCGGATTCTTGCGAACAAACTACTTGAACTCCTGGACAATTGTCGGTTGCATTGGCCACATAATCCACAACGGCTCCGCACTGTCCTTGGTCTGCTGTCACTGTCACAACATCCGGCACCGGATCGAAGACTGGAGCCTCCGTCTCATCGACATTGACGACAAAGCTTGTCTCGGCAGTGTTCCCATTTACATCGGTGGCGGTGCACGTCACCGTGGTGGTACCGACCGGAAACGTTGTGCCGGATTCTGGCGAACAAACTGCTTGAACTCCTGGACAGTTGTCGATTGCGGTGGGCACATTGAAATTCACAACGGCTTCGCACTGTCCTTGGTCTGCTGTCACTGTCACATTATCCGGCACCGGATTGAAGACTGGAGCCTCCGTCTCATGGACATTGACGACAAAGCTTGTCCCGGCAGTGTTCCCATTTACATCGGTGGCGGTGCACGTCACCGTGGTGGTACCGACCGGAAACGTTGTGCCGGATTCTGGCGAACAAACTACTTGAAAAATTCCACAGTGTCGGCTTGCGGTGGGCACATTGAAATTCACACGGGCTCCGCACTGTCCTTGGTCTGTGGTCACTGTCACGTCATTCGGCACCGCATCGAAGTCTGGATCCTCATTGTCCTCCACGGTAACATATAAGGAAGCTGATGCAGCGTTGCCAGCAGCATCGATCGCCGTGCAGTCAACTGTATTCTGACCGACATAAGCACAGGAACAAGATGGTGGCTCACAGGACCATGTGACGCCTGGGCAGTTGTCACTTACCGTTACGGCATTTTGCGGAATGACGCACTGTCCAGAGGTTGTCGATAATACCGTATCGCTCACCACGACGAGGGGATCCTGGTAGTCATCGACCTTGACGACAAAGCTTGTCTCGGCAGTGTTCCCATTTACATCGGTGGCGGTGCACGTCACCGTGGTGGTACCGACCGAGAACGCGGTGCCGGATTCTGGCGAACAAACTAGTTGCGCAACTCCACAGTTGTCGGTTGCGGTGGGCACATTGAAATTCACACGGGCTCCGCACTGTCCTTGGTCTGTGGTCACTGTCACGTCATTCGGCACCGCATCGAAGACTGGATCCTCATTGTCCTCCACGGTAACATATAAGGAAGCTGATGCAGCGTTGCCAGCAGCATCGATCGCCGTGCAGTCAACTGTATTCTGACCGACATAAGCACAGGAACAAGATGGTGGCTCACAGGACCATGTGACGCCTGGGCAGTTGTCACTTACCGTTACGGCATTTTGCGGAATGACGCACTGTCCAGAGGTTGTCGTTAATACCGTATCGCGCACCCAGATGACAGGATCCTCTGTGTCGGTGCTGGGATCCGCAGGGCACGTAGCAACTCCTCCCTTGACGAGCGCTTTTGCTTGCAAGAGCGCCTGGTCGTCAGAAGCGCAGCTTGCATTCTCGACGTGCTTCCCGGTCGAAGCACCCACCACAAAGGTCACCAAGGTGAGGGTCGCCACACAGCGCGTCAGCGCTGTGTGTGCAAAATTGCGGCCCTGCATGATGCAATGTGGGGCGGGGGGGCGATCAGGCACAGTTGAGTGCTAGAGTTGAGCCTTCGGCTTGGTCAAGTGGCATCTGGATGCACACTGATTGAGTCTTCAGCCCTTGCCGCGGAAACTGTGAACCCGCATGCCAACAGAAAGTAGGTTACTAACAAAAGGAACAACTCTGACTTATGTAAGCAAACCTCTAAAGGAACCCCGGATCCAGTGTCAGATGTGCCCTGCCATGCCTTGGTGGCTTCGTCGGCATCCACGGAATCCGACCAAAAACACCTCGTCTGCAAACGGGAAAACATTTCTTACTAGCTTGGTCCGGGGGGATTCGCCAAGATGTCTAATGGTGTTGGTGCTGTGCTGGCGGTGGTGGTCTTGGTGGTCTTCCTGGTGGTCTTGGCAGTGCTCTTGGTTGTGCTTTTGGTGCGGGTGACTGTAATGTCCGTGGTAGGGGCGGTGGTGATGCCGGTTTCTTTTTGTTCCAGTGACTCCTCTGGTTCCCCTAGTTCTTCCTGTTCGTCGTCCCTCTTGTCTAACCCCCCTTGCTCAGGCTTAAGTTCGCCTGGTTTAGAATTCAGGGTTTAGGGCCACTGACATTTGTGCTCCTCTTCGTTCCAAAATCTAGGCATTCGCTCTCAGGTTAGCCTAAGGCTTCTTGTGCCCAAAATGCATACACTTTGGCCCCAAAGGTACATACCATTTTGGCACATGGACCCCTAGGGTTAGACAACCCTAAACCCTAAGCCCTAAACCCTAAGCCCTAAACCCTAACCCTAGACCCTACGCCCTAAACCCTAGACCCTACGCCCTAAACCCTAAGCCCTACACCTAGGCCCTAAACCCTAAGCCCTAAACCCTTATAAGCTCTAAACCCTAAGCCCTCAACTCCTGTAAGCCCTAAACGCTAACCCTAAGCCCTCAGCCCCAACCTTAGACTCTAAGCCCTAAGCCCCAAACCTTAGACTCTGAGCCCTAAGCCCTAAACTCTCAACCACTATAAACCCTAAACCCTGAACCTAAGCCGCCGTGCCCCTACGGAGCATTCCTCAAGGACTGTCGTTACATGCTTGAGGACGCAGCTTTCGAACTCCACTTAACTCTCAACCGCTGATCTTCCCCATTTCTGCTATAGTAGCTACACACACAGATATATATATATATATATATATATACATAGTGTACATATATATATACATATATATATATATGTAGTATTTATTATATATATATATATACGGTATATACTTTAGTGTAATATAAACCAATATGGTAAAGTGCAATGTGTTATAGTATTCGGGAGCCTCAAAAGGTAGGATGAAGGTAGGTGGGATATTCCCAAATAAGAGTCCATATATAAGGGATCCTTAATCCCACCTACCTTCATCCCACCTTGTGAGGCCTCCGAAGCATAGCATGGCGAAGACAGACCCGGCCCCGGCGCCTGAGTGCGAGAGCCGCGAAGGGTGCCGAAAGTCAGGCCTGTTCTGGGCTGCCGGGCTTCCAAGGGATCTATAAGGGTTCTACAATAAGGAATATACTATAAGGGTTCAGGGTTTACCCGGCTTTAGGATTCAAGGCCTTAGGGTTTGGAGTTTAAGGGTTAAGGCTTATAGCTATAGGCTACCAGAAGAGAAAAAGATCAGAAAGATACTCGCAGCTGTATCCTGAAGTGCTGCAGCTTAGGAGCATCTTGTGGCAATACAGCAAACGAGAAAGGAACCACATCAGAACCCCTGAAGTAACCTAATTGCGCAAGTGGATTCAGGATTCTGTAGCTGCAACGCCAACAACCCTAACTCAGATGAACTTCGAACGCCAAACCCTAAACCCTAAACCCTAAACTCCTAAACCCTAAACTCCTAAATCCTAGACCCTAAACTCCTAAACCCTAAACTCCTAAATCCTAAACCCTAAACCATGCCTTAAAACTTTGAGAAGCCTGTGGGTCTCGAGCTCTGCATGCTCTTCTAGGTTTAGGGTTTAGGGGCTCTTTGTTGTACTATTGATGGTATAAAACCTGCATTACCTTAAGGGCCCTAAACTATGGGAATTGTGGTATATTCCTTAATTACTATGGGTAATGCAGGATGCATATCATCAGCCGTAGGTCTCAAATCTGGGGATGCGGATGCCGGGCGAGGTCTTGCAGGTGCATGAGTCGACAAGAATCCTGACGACACCTTTCCACGCCCAATTGCCCAGATGATGATGGTGATGATGATGATTATAATGGTGCTCGAGGCAGCTATCCGTTCTGATCGTAAGAGCAGTCGTCGTCGTCGTCGTCGTCATGGGAGCGGTAGTCGTCATCGGCTTCGTCGGTTGGTCGTTGTCATGACATTGGCGGTGGTCGTGATCGTTGTCCTCGTAGTTTTTCATGAGCGGCACCGGGCGTCGACAGCAGGAGAGGTAGTGGAAGGCTTGTGCTTGTGCTGGTAAGGTACGGTAAGGATAGCGGAGTGGGTGGTAGTGGTAGCGGAAGCGGCAGTGGCGGTGTCGCGGTTGGCGTGCAGAAGCAGTACCTCCAGTAGTAGTAGTAGTAGTAGTAGTAGTAGTAGTAGTAGTAGTAGTAGTAGTAGTAGTAGTAGTAGTAGTAGTAGTAGTTAGTAGTAGTAGTAGTAGTAGTAGTAGTAGTAGTAGTAGTAGTAGTAGTAGTAGTAGTAGTAGTAGTAGTAGTAGTAGTAGTAGTAGTAGTAGTAGTAGTAGTAGTAGTTTAGTAGTAGTAGTAGTAGTAGTAGTAGTAGTAGTAGTAGTAGTAGTAGTAGTAGTGGTTGTAGTAGTAGTAGTAGTAGTACTAGTGTAGTAGTAGTAGTAGTAGTAGTAGTAGTAGTAGTAGTAGTAGTAGTAGTAGTAGTAGTAGTAGTAGTAGTAGTAGTAGTAGTAGTAGTAGTAGTAGTAGTAGAGGTAGTAGTAGTAGTAGTAGTAGTAGTAGTAGTAGTAGTAGTAGTAGTAGTAGTAGTAGTAGTAGCAGTAGTAGTAGCAGTAGCAGTAGCAGTAGCAGTGGTAATGGTAGTGGTAGTAGCAGTAGCAGAAGAAGTAGTAGTAGCAGCAGTGGTAGTAGTACTAGGAAGTAGTACGTAGTGAATAGAAAATAGTAGTTGTCGTCCTCGCAGTCGCAGTCGAAGACGCAGCCGCAATCCAAGTAGTAGTCGTCGTCGTTGTCGTCGCCATAGGAAAGTAGCAGTAGCAGCAGCAGCCGCAGCAGCAGCGGTAGCTGCAGCAGAGTAGTATCAAGTGCAGTCAACCTTAGAAGGTTTGACCCGATCTTGAAGTCACAACTGTGAGAGTGTGTTTCAGGACTGTACAACACAATCGCTATTGCCGACCCCATGCCCACCCGAAGAAGTCAAGCTGCTTCCCACATGACTTAGCAATCCCCAGCATCTGAACCAACGCCCACACAACGAATCACGGCTAGGCCAGGAATACAAGACTTTGAAACCACGGACCCTGCATGCGCTTTTGCTAATGGCATCGGAATTTCTCTGCTGCGGCAATCTCCACCATACGGGGTTCTTGTTAAGGGATTCATTTTAAGTTGCCATAATAAGGAAGCTATAAAATTCACCATCGATCCCTAAATCCTAAACCCCCTCACCATAGGTAGGTCATCCTCTTGCCATCGCAGGAGAAAGGCGGCGAGATCTTCTTTGCCACCTGGATGCTGTGCCCTACCGTATGATGTACATCTAGGGTTTAGGGTTTAGGTTTAGGGTGGGATGTACATAACCTTTTTTTGAATGAGGGAAGCACCTGACACTGCGTGACACTGAGTGATTCGCGACACTATGCTCGAAACAAAGAGCTGGTGCAACCCCAAAGGGTCCTATGTACCGATATAGTAGAATGTAGGCTTTCCATATTAGGCATTATGTACTATGATGAATCCCCAATATCAGTACATACTAGTAGGACCTTTTGGGACTACTCCCTGCGACTACCGAAGGACATGTGGGTCTGACGTAGTATGTAATCGGGCCTGGCTGCCTGACCCGAACCCTAAGGCTCAAAATTGCCCAAAAGCCTCTAATATAGTGTGGTCTTTGGGCCCAAAAAGCCTTAAAATATGAGTCCTTAGAGCCTAAGGGGAAGGGTCCAAGTGACTAAGAAACCAAATACTCTCCCAAATATTGACCTACGCAACTACCATCTTAAACTCCTAAACCCTTGCACTCCCTTGCACCTGATTATGGGGTCCTTGGACCCCTAGGGTGATAGCCAAAGCTCGAACCACAACCTTGAGCCCCAAACCCTAAACCCTAAACCCTAAACCCTAAACCCTAAACCCTTGAAAAGCCCGAACCCAGAGATCCCCCAACCTGCTGTTTAAAGGGCTATAGTAGAAGCCAAAAAGTTAGAACATCATTATCCTCATGCCCTTAAGGTAAAGTTTAGGGAATCCTAGCACTAATCCTCCTTCATCCATGTTCCAACTTTCTGGGGTTCACTGTACATTAACCCTGAATAGCCTGCCCTTTTTAGGGTCCTTACTCTGGTTTCCTTAACATAGGGTCCTTAAACAGGTAGGCTCTTCGGGGTTCAGGTATAGTTATAAAGTAGGAACCTGATTAAAAAACACCCTGGGCCTATAACCCCAAAACAGTAGGGTTCGTAAAGGAACCCTAATAAAGGCCCAAGGTTTCTTAATCAGGTTCCTATATCACCCTCTAATCAAGGGGTCATAACCAACCCTAAAACCCTAAACACTAAAACCCTAATCCCCACACCCTAAACCCATTTTGTAGGGTTTGGGGAGACAGGAAGTGCTACGTCACGTCGACACCCAACCGCGAAGTAAAGACCCTAAAACACTCTGAGCGCCGTAATTGTATTAAAGAGCCCCCAAAATAGTATAGGTAGTTATTTCGGCCCCTATAGTACCTGTTGCCTTCAGAATTGCAAGCAAGATCAATCAAGCTAAACACTTCCTGTCGGCTGAAGCAGCCCAGATTGAAAAAAAGCCAGAAATTCCTAAACTCTATTCTCAATGCTACGACGCAAACCTCACCTTCTACAGCAGCAGACCATCTTTTTGCAGAATTGAAGGGTTTCACAACACGGAGAAACACCCCAAGAACACTGGTCTTGTCTCTGGGTGCAGATAAACACCAGATTCCGAAATTCCGAGTCCAAAAATCAAAAAAAAACCTATGCGTTGAGACCCTAAACCCTAGAATCCCTAGAATCCGTAGAACACAAGCCGAACCCGAAGCCCATAAATCCTGACCACCAGTACCACCACCCTCGTCGTTGCGCCCCGTTCACATCATCACTTCTTGCTATGGCTCACAGCTTACTTTGCATAATGGTCATAGGTTTCTACAGCAAGATTTACCGACAAACACCAAAATGCTGTTGTCTGCCGGGCAGAGGCAAACGGCGCGGAACAACGAAAGGAGCTCCGTAAGAAACCCCTAAACCCTAAACCCTTAAGCCTAAACCCTAAACCCCTGAACCGCAAGAAGCGTGCCTGAAGCTGCTTGGAGCTCTTCCAGAAAGCGAAGAAGTAGTTGCCAGCATCCACCTTGCAGGGTTTAGGGTTTAGGATTTATAGCCTCTAATATGCCCGCCAATACCATTTCGGGCCATCGTGGCTCGATTAAGGTTCCGGTAGGGTTTCGGGTTTGGCTCGAGCAAACCAGCCGCCTTATGCCGTAATGATTAGATTTGGGGTTCCTCTCAAGAGTTCTTTTAAAGGGTGGTTCGGTTTAGTTTGAGGGTTAGCAAAAAGGCTAGGGTTCTAAAGAGCTCCTTAAGAAGGGAGAGATAAGGGTCTGTTATTTATGTAGGGATGTAGTATAGGATTCGTTCTAGAATTTGGCTTCGCGGTTCGTTATTTTTTCATCATATTCCTAACAATGATTAGCTTTCAGCCTCTACAGCCAGGCTTCTATAAACAGATCCATACAAGATTTCCATTAAAGCAGTCTATCACGGGCTCGACAATGCCGTATAGAAGAGGCTCTTGAGGGAGTTATATGCAAGGTTTAGGGTTTAGGGCTTAGGGTTTAGGGGTTCTTTACCCTTGAATTCATGTACCCATGTCATACATACTGTGACCCTGAAATACCCATGAAGACACTGCTGTAAGGCCAGAGTATATACTATGACTATGCAGGATATAATTATGAGGGAACTTCCGAAAATAGGAGACCCTCATATAGTACCCTAAGTAGTAGGATCTTGATTCCAAGGGGCCCAAAACAAGGTACCCCCATATGGATACATGAACCCTCTGGGTTTAGGGAGCTGTATGACTTTCCGGAGCTCTGGACAAGTTCTTCCCTAGTCCCACAAGCCGGTCTTTCAGCGGTCCTGTACCTTGAGATCACAATAACCCTTCATGAAGGAATGCACCGTGAATCATAACAGCAAGCCCCCGATAATTTAAGGTATTCCTTAGCCCTAAACCCCAAAACCCTAAACGCCTAAAGTATTTGCACTAATGAAGGGGTACTGAGATCTCTGTGTGTGTGGGCTTCCATAAAGAGCGCCTCGTAGGATTGCCTCAAGGATTCCCCTTAGGGTCCAAGTACTTACCTAATTAGGTTTAGGGTTTAGGCTAGTAGGGTACATATGCTCTCACAACTATATCTTAATTATAGGGTATTGGGGAGTCTGGGTGGACGGTCGTCAAAGCAGTGTACCCTTTGCGTCCCAAAGTGTAGGGCTCCGTAATGCCCGTAGAATCATTTCTGTAGCGTGGCCCAAAGCCCTAATGGGTCCAAGTATCTAATTATCATATACTCTTCCAAATTAGTAGCCTGCATAACTACGATCCTAAACCCAAGTATAAAAAATCCTCCAAGCCCCGTAGAACCCCTTAACGGGACCCCAATTATTGGGTCATTTCGGCCCGGTTTTGCAAAAGGATTGCCAGGATTTCCATCAGGGGTTTTGTGAACTGCCCTACGGTTTAGGGTTTCGGGTACGGTTTGGGTTTAGGGTTTAGGGTTTAGGGTATAGGGTTTAGGGCTTAGGGTTTAGGGTTTTGCGCTAGAAAGACCGGCTGTACAACGGTTCCACAGTCCTTCATAAAAGCTTCGTACGTTGGTTTTATTATACAAACCTTAACCCTGAATAACATACCTTCTTCTAGGGTTCCTTACTATGATGTCCTTATATAAGTCCTTGAAAATGTAAGTTATTCCAGGTTGACGGCCTGAAACAATTCCCCGGTTTTTGGGCCCAACGACTCCTTAGAGCCAGGAGCCCTAAAACCTTACGCAGGCCCCATGAAGCCTCAATTCAATACCCTCACATCGGAAACGCTAAACCCCGAATAACCTTGCAAGACCCTTACCCTGATGGTCGACGTACCTGATTATCATAGACTCTCCAACCTAGTAGCCTCTATGACTATGATCCCAAGCCCGAGTACCTAACTATTGGGTCCTTCCGGACCCATAGGATATATATGGTCACGCGCTCCGCACCCCCCCCCCCCTCCCCCCCCAAAGGTCAATGGTCCGGATATAGGGTGGGGCCCCCCCCTCCCCTGTGGTGTGGGGTGTGGGGTTCCTCTTCCCCCTCTGGGGTGGTTGTGGGGTTTTGGGGTTTAGGGTTTAGCTTAAGCTTTTGAGTTTTGGGTTTAGTCAGGCGTCTGGCGTTCCCAGCCCCCCCCCCCCCCCCCAATGGTATGGTCTGACAGGGGGGGGGGGGTCCCCGGGCGTGTGCGGAAAGGGGTTGGGGCCGTTGGAGCTGCCGCTGGATGGTGGGGCGGTGCTGGCGACCAGGGCTCACGCGCAAGCCCTTCGCAAGCAAGCCGTAAACCCTATGACGCAGCCCGTGCCCCGATTTTGAGCAACCTTAACTTGTACTTAAAACGCTACACCCAACCCTAAACCCCACCTAACTGCAGGCTCTAAGCCTAAAGCAGAGCATACACCGCAAATCCTCCCTAATCCCTTGTCGACTCGAAGCCTTATACCTTGTAGCCGTAAACCCAAAACTCGAAAGCTTAAGCTAAACCCCAAACCCCAAAACCCCACAACCACCCACAGGGGGAAGAGGAACCCCACACCCCACACCACAGGGGAGGGGGGCGGCCCCACCCTATAGCCGGACCATTGACCTTTGGGGGGGGAGGGGGGGGGGGGGGCTGCGGAGCGCGTGACCATATATAACCCTACAAGGGAATCCACAGCTCAGAGGAACACTTGATGCAACCGCCTAAGACCCTTCCCCAAAGGGTTGTAGAGTTTCTATATTGATTTAAAAAATGATTTGGGGAAGTATCACCCATAGCGGTGCCTAGGACCCTTTGGGTCATAAAGCCCTGAGAGGCAAACCCCACCTTGATCACAAGCCCGGACGCCAGCGGAGTAACCTTGTAGGGCTGAGAGTTTTCCCTCAGGCCTTCAAGTGCTCCTTATACAGGTACTTTTGCGACAAAATTTATAGTATTTGGGTACATGGACCCTTGGGGTTTGGTTTAGGGATTAAGGTAGCGTTCGGCTTCGGGATTTTGGGAGTTGGGGTGTAGCATGTGAGTCTGCGGTGTTTTTGTTGTTTATAAGTTGTGGTTCAGTGTTCAAGCTTAGGGGTTTAGCGCTCAAGGTTTACTGAGTTGCTGAGTGCATATGCCCCCAGACATGTAAACTTTCCGGTCTAGTATAGTATAAAGGACCTCTTACAAGTAGCGGCCCTATATACCCTTATAGTATTATGGTTATGGTCGAACCTGACCGTAAACCCGTTTGCGGGCCTCTAAACCGTGGGCTTACGGTAAGCATCCGGCTTCCAACTTTTAGAGTTGATGCTCCCCCTGACGCCGTTTCCCCGCACCCTAAATTAATGCTCTACACCCCGGATAAAGGCGAAAAGTCTAGGATGTATGTGGTGTTCAAGCTACTTGGGTTTGGATAGTGGTTTTGAAGTTTAGAATTTGGCGATGTATGATTCTTTGGGTCTTTGGACCCCTACTTGTCGGGTATCATGGGGAACTAGACGTTAACCTTTTTGGTTATATAGGGATCATATGGGAACTATGCTACCCAAAAAAGGTTAAAGGTTACGTGTACCTACTCTACTACTAGGGACCATAAGAGCTTCGGAGTTTGAGTTTCGGGAGGGTGTAGTTCAAACAACCCCCCTCTTCTTTAGGATTATTCTAGGATATTCTTGTGATGCGGGCCGGCACACTCTCTCTACTGACTGCCGCAGATTCAAGGTGTGGTTAGAGCTCGTGGGTTTGAGGTGACGCTACCGACTGAGGATTCCAACAGGTTCAAGAACGGACCACAACAGGAACCCCAAACCCACCTACACCTGACCCCTTCAATCACTTAGGGCTTAGGGCTAGATCCTGTTGAACTTGCTATCCCAATCAGTGGTGCACTTCAGTGCCTTATGTTTATGTGCCTGGTTGGCCCCTTTACTGAAGCAACAGACAAGGTGCTGATGACGTCTGCCTGCACTTGGGCCGACTGCATCTGCTGCAATAGCTTCAGAACCCATCTCCACTGTCCAGCCTGGCCATGCAAAGAGTTAAGCCGACATCTGCCTAGACCCCCAACTACGTAGACATCCCTAAACCCCACCCCTAAGCCCTAAGCCCAAAAGCCCTAGAACATGTAATGTACTTGAGGGGTCTGGGGCTTCAAGTTTAAGTGGAGAGAAAGTTGGAACATGGCTTTAGGATGCCGAGTGTTGGGATCGCCCATACTTCTACCTCGAGTGAGGGTGTTGATGTTCCCAACTTTCTGGCTTCTACTGTAGTAGGTTACTGGGATATATAATATGGGAGGTTCCCCAATATAATACCCTAAATGCTAGGATCCTTATACTTCTACTTCTACTTTGATGAGACCCCCGAGAGGGTCGAAGGTACTGCCTACTATAGGGCTTAGGGCCTTTTAGGTCACAGAGACGATTAATAACGGTTGATGGTACAAATCCTGCATTACCCATAATAAGGAATATACCGTAATTTCCATAGTTTAGGGTTCTTAAGGTAATGCAGGATTTATATCATCAACAGAAGGACTACTTGGACACTGAGGGGACTTAAGATTTATAGGGTTTAGGATTTAGGGCTTACGGGCTCAAGGTTTCGGGGTACAAGGACCCTAAACACCCGACATTCCTAATAGAAAAATCATGACTGGGCCCGAGGCACCTCAATTTTTCTGCCATCATGGGAGAGATAGTGAACCCTAAGGGCTCAAGTGCCTAGCTAACCTGAGGATACGGATGAGGAGCACGGGTCTAGGCTTTTAGGACCATTGCAAGGAGGACCTGAATCGTACCACTGACTTGGAACCACACCGTGGGGTCTGGGGTTCGAGGTTTACTAAATGCTTAACCCTAAACTAAAACCCTACAGCCTGTGATTCAGGGAGCCGTCCTTCCTTTCTGGAGTTAGAGCTGCAAGGTCATTCAGGGACACAATCCAGAATCCCACATCGGAGTTTGCGATGTAGCTAAGGTCGGCAGACTTGGAGTACATAATTTGGGTGGTTGCTAAGTGGGTTTGGGGCTAAAGGTTTAGGGATTTGGGCTTAGGGCTTAGCAACTTTGGCTTACAAAAACCCAAGTTGTTCGTCATCGTAAAAAACCAACGAGTACCAAGCGCCACCCACCTTCTGACACGCGCTGATGCTTGCATTGAAGCTGATCACGTCGGGTGTAGCAGCTTCCTCCACCTGAACTAAGCGAATAGCGACCTACTTGTCGGGTATCTTGGGGAACTAAAGGTTAACCTTTTTGGGTAATTGACTATACTACCCCCCAAACATTAAAGGTTACCTACTCTACTAATAGGGCGAAGATCGGGTTTTCATGCGGATCCTAATTGCTTGGTACGCCCCTCTGTTTTCTCAAACACCGGTATATAATGGTTTGCACGCCCTTCTTCAACCCTAATGTAGGAACCTGATTAAGAAATCCTGGCCCTATAACTCCCAATATAATAGGATTAAGATAAGGAAACCTAATAAGAACCCAGGGTTGCTTAATCAGGTTCCTACATTAAACCGAACAGACTCCTTGTAGAGCCCTTTAATTTAAGGAAGCCCTCAAGGAACCCACTTTCAAACCCGGATGCTTCGCCTCCGCCAGCAATTGCAAAGCCAGCTCCCAATACCCACCAAGCTCGCAAGCGCTGATACCGGCGTTGTAGCTCCTTGCTTGACACTTGATTCAATTTGACGGCTCAAGGACCCTGAAAAGTAGAGGCCCATACCCTTATGGTATGAATCCCTATTATATATGGTAGTTGACGTTCGACCCTTGTGAGGTAATCAAACCTGGAACCCCTCATAGCTCACACTCTGACTCCCTCCTTATGCCCTATACTCAGCCCTTTCTAAGGAACGCTTTTAACTCCCTAAACCCTAAACCTAAACCATTTTTAGGGTACAAGGAACCCTTTTAATTACACCCTAAACCTAAACACCTAAGGGGACATTTCGTCCTTGAGGCAGTGTTCAGGTTTCAGATTCAGGCCTAATAATGCTCAAGCGCGCAGAAAGCCGAGCGCCAAACTCGGCTCAGGGTTCAGGGTCTGTAGGTGTGGGGTCTAGGGTTGAGGGTGTCAGGGGCCATATACACTTATAACACGTATCCCTATGATGGTTCAGGGGTTATAGGGTCTAGGATTAAGGGATTAGAGGCCATATACCCTTATAGTAAGTATGCCTCTTATGTTGCTTGAACCTTAAACACCTTCAGGGTACATGTCGTCCTCGAAGGAAACCTCCAGATGCCCAACCCTGTAAACCCTAAACCATAAACCCTTAGCGGCCCCATTCCGAGATTGAACATAAATACATCTAGGGGTTAGAGTTTAGGGTCTACATGGGAATCAAAAACCCACGGTTTTAAGGGTCATACCCTCTCATGAAGGGGTCATAACCTACTCGTTTGTAGGGTTTAGGATTCTAGGGACTGGGGTTTAGGATTTAAGGTGTGTTTCTACTGCTCTGAAACCCCGAACTATGGCCTTCCATCGATTTGCAACTCGATGCGTGGGCTTCCTATGGCTTCGTATAAGGATTCCTTTGAGGGTTCCCATAAGGATTCCTTTGAGAGTTCCTTGAAGGGTACAATACAGGTATCGGGTGCAAGGGTACGTTAGCCTAACTTTTGTAAGGTCCCTATAAATACAAGTATATAGAGGGTTCAATAAAACAGAGAGTTTACAATCTAATAGCCTGCAAAACACGTAGGGTTTGATAGTTTCAGGTACGTAACAGCCCCAAAGCATTCACATGCAAACTTAACCGCTCAACCCTTACAATGTCGAGGTCGGATTGCTAATTCCCCTTCAAAATAACCCATAGGATTATGCCGCAAGGTGCGCCGAATCCCTATTCGAACTCTCTAATGACGCCGCCATGAGCCCATATAGTATATACCTCGGCACCGAGGCACCTTTATAAGGAATACTTTAAGGCCAAAGCTTCTGCCATTTGGGTATAGGGACCCTTATACCCTAAACCCTTAGAGGACCCCTTCTAGCACCCCTTAAAGGAATCATGAAAGGATCCCTAAATGGGTTTGCAAAACCCCGAACTTTAAGAGCAAGGTATATGGGAGTTTCCGAAAATAGGGGACCCTAATATAGATAGAACCCTAAATAGCAGGATCCTTATTGTAAGGACCCCAAATCAGGTACCCTAATTTGCGGAAACTCCCATATAGTATTTGAATACTTGCACCCTGAAGGATGCTGAAGTCTCCTCTTTGGAAGACCCTAATCAGTCCCTCAAGCGACCTTGAACCCAGAACCTAAGGGTTTAGGGTTTCAGCTTTAGGGTAGGGCTTAAGGTTCAGGGTATTCCAAGACCCTTAATAAGGACCCCTAGGTATACACCGTACTATATACCCTTAATATGGCTATTATATAGCATTTTCGGGTAGGGGTCCCCAGTAAGGGTCCCTCCTATTCCCCTTTGAGGTATGGTGTAAAACGACATCGAACCATAAGCCGTATAAGCCTCGCCAGCTATCCTGACGGGTCTGGGTTCGGGTCGCCAGGGTTCGGCATTTGGAGTTTAATGGCATGTACATACTTTACGGGCCTGCATAATTACCTATACTATTTTGGGGTTCCTTATCATATTATATAGTACAATGAGCCCCAAAACCCCATTCTAATTATCAAGGCCCCTATCTTATAATAGAACCCTTATAGCAGCCCTTACAGACCCTTTTAGAAGGAGCCCTTGAAAGGAACCCCATTCTAATGATTAAAACCCCTCTAATACTGCCACAACAGTGAAGGCCCATTGCCTCTATGATGAGCCCCCAGCAGGAAGGATAAGCCAAAACCCTAAACCCCTAAACACCCTAAAGCCCTTAACCATACAGCCATAAAGCCCGAAAACCCTACACCCTAAACCCTAAAACCCTAAAACCCCAAACTGGCGGCCTTATAGAACACTTAAAGGAACCCTTATAGATCCCTTGAGGCAACCCTTATAGCTCCTTAAAGCAATCCCCAATAAAACCCCTAAGCTGGCGGCCAAAGCTCGGCAAGTTCGGGGCGACGCGCGCAGCTGGCATCTCCCGCAGAAGCAGCAGAGCCTGCTGCCTTGGCATTTTTTTTTTTGGGGGGAGGGGGGGTTAGGTAAGTTCAGTTAAGCAGCCACTGGCCACCCCGTCGGCAGGCACTGATGCAGGAAGTGAGCAGAACGACATCTGCAGAGATTTGGCTGGAAGGTAGCCTGGGTCCGCTAGGCTTTCCGAACCCAAAACCCTACCTTGACCCTGAACAGCCTACTTTTTAGGGTGCCTTACTATGATTTCCTTACATAAGTCTTCAAAAGGTAGGATATGCAGGCTTTGAAGTAAACCTGAAACCTCAAATTAAGGGAAGGTGACTGAGGAGAATTGCTGCAAGTGTGGAACCTAGTTGCACTTTTGGAATTCATGATCTGTATGAATGCCGCAAAGGAGCCTGCTGAACCCTAAGGCCATAGGGGTCCATGTCTGTATACACTATACGTACTTTAAGGCCAAAGTATATACCACATGAAATATGGGCACATGGGCCCTTAGGGGAAGGACAAAGAGGTTTACGAAAGAGTTCCCAGACTGTGATGCAGTAGCTGCGAAAGCAGTTGCACTGCCCACTGCCAATGTGAAGCCCGCTCCACGGCGGTGATGGCCGCGCTGAAGCTGATCGTGTCTACTTGCACATGTGCTCGAGGAATCTCAGAGAAAAGCTGAAGTGCCAGTAGCCACTGCCCCGCCCCGGCGCATGCATTCAGGCCTGCGCTGAAGCTGAAGGCATCTGCCTGCATCAAGGGGAGTCATTCGTCATCCATCTGATTTGATATTGATGCACGACGATACTTCGTTTTACCTCAGTGTAAACAATACTAGGAAAACTATACTACTGACGCTATCACGCGATACATCACGACAGCGGACATCTTTGTATGAACCCTGAACCCCACGCAATGCCCTACATCCACACGTGGGTAAAGCCGAGGCTACGTCTACTACAAGTGTGATACTGATCTACGACCGCCCAGCGTGCCTAGGTACTTCTACCACGACAGACCCAGCACAGTGTCGGAATTCTTCAATCCGCATGTCAAGACTAAGATCGGCGTGGACCCTAAACCTTGAACCCCTATACCGACCCCAAGTCGGCCTCGTTAGATATATTAAACCCCCAAACCCCAGGCCACTAAACCCTAAATGGGCCTGGATGGCAAGCGAAGGCATCTCTTTGAGTAGATGGAGTGCAAGCGGCCATAGTCCGGCTCTCGCACAGGCGCTAATGCATGCATTGAAGCCTGGGTCTAGGGTTCCGGGTTCAAGGTTCTGGGTGTAGGGTCTATGCACCGGTCCACTGCATCCCAAACTAAAGTCAAACCCTGAAGCTCGAAGCTAGCGCGGTCCTAAATCCTTTCCCAAACCCTACAACCCCACGCCTTCACGATCAGAGGTGCCGAAGTCTGGGTTTGGAGCTGGCAGTTCAGGAATTGGGGTTCTGAGAGGGTTTAAGGTTGAGGGTTTAAGGTTTAGGCTTCTAAGGTTCAGGGATTAGGGTTGCAAAAGCCGAGTGCACTCTAACTCCTCTAGGATCCCCGGCAACCCGGGAATAAACAAGCTCCCATGGGCATATATTATATTGGGTAGTTTTAAAAGACCACCAAAAGGGAAAAAGTGCCCACTGGGAGACCTAGAAAGAGCGAAGCCGTAAGGTGAAAGGGGAACAAGCATTCTGCTTGCTGGGATCGAGAAACTGACAGCATCCGGGGCGATGCCAGATGCCGCCATCTGTGACATCAGAAGCAGCGCTAGCTCCCACCGTGCGCCTTTCTCAGAAGCACTGATCGCGGCGTTGAAACTGAGCTCATCCGCCAGAATCCTCCCTGAAGTCATCTCAGATAGTAGATGCATAGCCATAGGCCATTGGCCAGCCGTGGCACATAAAGAGATGCAGGTGTTGAAAGTGATCACATTGGCTTCAACCGACGATGCCAACATAAGCTGGAACAGTCGAGCCGCTGTCTCCCAGCCACTCGCACCGTCACATCCACTCATCGCTGTGGTGAAGCTGATAACATCATGCGACACCCTGACATCCGACATATGGAAAAGCAGATGAAGCCCCCACTCCCACTGCCCAGATCTGGCACAGGTAAGAATGCAGGAATTGTAGCTAATGGTATCCGCTTCGATGGCACTGCTGGGCATGTCACGCAGAAGAGCCAGAGCTAGCTGCCAGCATCCGCCTGCCTCGCATGCACTTAGGAAAGAATTGAAGCTGACTGCATCCGGTCGGATGCGCACCGAAGGCATGTCAGCAAAGAGCTGCATCGCAATCTGCCACACCCCAGCTCCATCGCACGCTGCGATAGCAGCGTTGTAGCTGATAACGTTCACTGCCACGCCGGCGGCAGGCATCCCTACCGAAAGAAGCTCAAGCGCCATTCTCCACTCCGAAGCTGCAGCACATGCACTGATGCTTGCGTTGAAGCTGATCGTGTCCCTTGTCAGCTTGGCTTTGGGCATCTCTGCTAAAAGCTCAAGAGCCCTCGGCCACTCGCCAGCCTGGGTTCTCGTTAAGGAGCTCCGTGCAGCTCTGGGTAGCTGAAAAGATTTATTGTCCTAAAGTAATCCCTATATAGGCCGGTAGGCTTGGCCCAATGTAAATGTATCTACTATTTGGGTACATGGACCCTGGGGGACTTAGAATAAATCCAGGCAGTTTCCTTGCTGATTTAATCAAAGTAAACTCCTTAACAAGAACTTAGCAGCTTTTTCATACACGCTGATCGCCGAATTCAAGGTAATGGTGTTGGGTCTAACAGTGACCACGCGCATGTGCGACAGCACCTCCAATACTTCTTGCCAACGGCCGTGCTTCTCACACGCACTGATACAAGCACTGCAGGTGATCACATTTGCACTGATCTTCCTTGCCAGCATCTCCGACAGCAGCTGAAGTGCAAGAGGCCACTGCCCTTCATGTCCGCAGGCACTGATGCAGCTACCGTAGCTTATCACATCAGCAGTGAATCGTGCAGCCGGCATCTTGGACAGCAGTTCAAGTGCAAGCAGCCACTGTCCACCACGTTCGCAGGCAGTGATCGCGGCATTGTACGTGATCAAGTTTGCCTCAACCAGTTCCTCGTGCATGTCTTCGAGAAGTTGCAGCGCAGAGGCCCACTGCTCACCTCTAGCACAAGCACTTATGCTTGCGCTGTAGCTTATCACATCTGCCACAATACTGGCAGCCGGCATTCCTTTAAGGAGCCAAAGAGCAAGCTGCCAGTCAGATGCCTTCCCGCACTGGCTGATGGCCTTGTTCACGCTCTTTTGTTGGAGCCGTCTTCCGTCTGCCATCGCTCTCAACAGCTTTTCACCTTCTGGGCGGCAAAGTGACCGAGGCCTAAACGTCCAAACGCTTCACGTAACCATTAACTAAACACATGATGCAAGTTCAAGCTTTAAGCTTTACATACATGGACAGTTTGCAGATGACTCCGTGGTCTGTCAACAACACACGCAAAGGCAATTCACCTTACCTTGATCCTAGGTCATTGGGGCTAATCCTGAACCCTGGTGTTAGTACTGGTGGGCTAGAATGATCATCATGCCTTCAAGATGGTAAAACGACAAAGAGCATGCTGAACTCAGCAACAACTAATACATGCATGTTACCAAAGTATGCTGGTGTGTTAGAAGGCCCAAATGAAAACCCTCAACATTGGAATCACTGTTGTGGGGAGCCGAATTAAATACCCCTGCAACCCTACTGAGTTGTCATCTTAAGGAAGAACAAACAACCCTAAACACCTAAACCCTAAACTCTCTACCCTCATCCTTTGCCCAGAACGCCGTCTGGAACCTAGCCGCTTATCCTGTCTGTGACTTAGCGCGAGCCAAGTATATTCATGTATTAAAGGGTATTGGGCTGTCTGGGTGGATGGTTGTCAAAACAGTGCCCCCTTTCCCAAAGTATAGGGTTCCGTATTGACAGTAGAATCAGTTATATAGGGTGGCCCAAAGCCCTGAGGTTCCAAGTATCCAATTATCATATACTCTCCCAAATAGTAGCCTACATAACTACTATCCTAAACCTAAGTACGTAATTATTGGGTCCTGTAGACCCTTAAAACCCTACTATAGAATCTTCTGGACCCCTTATAGAGCCCTTTAAAGGAACCCCAATAAACCTGTAAAGGGACCTTTCATGATTTTTGACAGTTACCCACACGGCCTTGAGCTCTCTCCATGGGCAGGGCTAGCGACACCCGGTGGCAAAAAACAAACTTCCGAGCCGAAATTCTCAAAGAGTTTAAGGTTGAGGAGTCTAGGGTTTAGGCGGTTTAGGGGTTTAGGGTTTAGTGGTTTGGCGTTTACGATAACATGCCAGAATATGGAATGTATGAGGTTCCTACAAAAGGTAGGTTTTGGTAGGTTGAGGTACGGTTTTGGGGGCCCGCAGCCAAAAGCCCTAAAAGCAAAACCTGAAGGCTTACGGCTTAAAGTTTAGGGTTTAGGGTTAGGGGTTTAGGATGGGGATTGGGGATTTAGGATTGCAGACTCTAGGGAGTATAGCTCGAGGTGTACACGGTTCAGATTTGAGGCCTTATAAGGACTAGGAGTTCATGCTAAGGTTGGGGCCCCTAAACCCTAAACCCAAAAGGTTGGATCCTAATTAGAGCCTTATGGCCAAGATGATGTCTTCTCCTGCGGAGCCGAGCAATTGGTATCTCAGGCACATCTCATAACAAAAGCCTTACTTGCCCAAGGAAATAGTAAGATCCTGTTGATGATATAACAAATCCTGCATTACCTTAAGAACCCTAAACTATGAGAATTATGGTATATACCTTATTATGGGTAATGCAGGATTTATACCATGAACCGTCCCTTTGGGGGGCTCTCAGAGCCTCATGCAGTTACAGGTGCCTCAGATGCTCAAGAGAGCAAGGGCAGCCCCGATCCTATAGGCGATCAAACGACTCTTATCAAAGGACTCTCAAATAGGATCTGTAATCTGTAAGCTTATGAAAATTATACTGACCCATGCAACAACCGCTTTCAAAAACCTGGAATCCCAGCAAACCCTGCCTGCTGCACGTCCCAGCTGCTGTGACTACCTCGCGGAGTATAGCATGAAGAGCCGCTCCTACACCGGAGGCAAGTCACTGCTAATTAGATCAAAGGGTCCACATACTCCCGATAATGGGACTTTGGGTGCGTTTTGGGTACTTCAGGGAAGTGGTTTAGGTTGTTTGGGTTTAGCCGTTTTGGGCTGTAGGGGATCACACCCTAACCAACAAATGAGGGGTTTCTTAAAAGAAGGTGTTTCATTGTGCGGTCAAACATGGGGGCCGTAAAAATTGGGATAGGAGGGGTATGTGAAACCATAACGATAATGAGGAACCCCCAAAACCCTGTTCAAATTATTAAGTCCCTACCTCACGTTCTGAGGCTCCTTCTTCTACTGCAGGTCCTCTCCCATTTCCCCAGAAATTGTCTTCTCTGATGCCCCGACACCGATCTTGAAGCCGAAAACCCCCTGAAACCCAATGCCCTAGCAACCCTACAACAGGCTGCAATGCGCCATGCAATCAAGCCCCATAAAGCCTTGACAAAGCACTGACTAGTTCATAGCGCCCTAGACAAGGCCATGACGCCCTTTCATGTTAGCAACTTAAGTGCCTAAGCGCTTAATTCAGTGCTTTCGGCATGGCCTGAGGGTCCAGGGGTACATCTGCCACATAATGATCCACATCCGAAACCTAAGCCACTAGACCCGTTGAGGATGTGGGCTTTTGGGTTGTGCCATGGTGTACGCTAAGGCTCGGACACCGAAAAGCCCAAACCCCGCCTTCAAGAACTCAAAACAACAAACTACAATGAGGAGGACTTCTCACGGATCTAGAAGTGTCTCTGAAGGGTTTCTATGAGGGTACTACCAGAAGGGTACCTATACAGGTCCCCAAGTACTACGAGACACATATAAAGAGGACCCTAAAAGAGTCGAATTTACAGAAGTATAAAACACAGTTGAGTTGAGGGTTTGAGATTTAAGGTCTGGAGTTTAAGTTTAGGGTCGTGGGCTTCGGATTCAGTGTTCACAGGTTAGGGTTAGGGTTTGAGGCTAAAGGGCGACTTTGTGTACAGGGTCAGCTGCTTCTTACAAAGGTGTTTATATCTGTCTTCATCCTAACCTCCCTGTAGTAGGTAGCAACTGCGTCGTGGTACCCTGATGGTGATGGAAACACATGCACACCTATACTCGGTTGCCTTCCGCCTGATTAGGCGTTTAGGGCCACAGGATGATAATATGCATGCCTAAGGCCTTTGTATCGAATCTCTAGGGCTCAGAAGGCGATCGCAGTGTAAAGGGTTTTTCTGAGGGGGATCGCACATCTTTAAGGGTCCCATTGTAATCATAGCGGCCCTGGTCACGATACATCCTGATATTCAGCGAGTTTACGGGCGCTTCAGATGCTTAAGAGAGCAAGGACAGCCCCGATCCTATAGGCGATCAAACAACTCTTGTGATGCGCAAGGGCAAGTTCGGAGTAACGCATGCAAAGCCGCTCCTACAGTGCAAACAAGTCACTGGAAGTTAGCCCAAAGGGTCCACATACTCCCGATAATAGGACTTTGACTTTGGGTCCACTCGGGGCAGCCCAGGGAAGTGGTTTAGGTTGTTTGGGTTTAGCCGTTTTGGGCTGTACGGGATCACACCCAAACAACAAATGAGGGATTTGTTAAAAGAAGGTGTCTCATCGTCCGGTCTAATACAGGGGCCTTAAAAAACATTGGGAAAGGGTTTTGGGGCATGTGGCATGTGAAACCATAATTACAGTAAGGATACCCCAAAACCCTGTTCTAACTATTAAGTCCCTAATGTGAGCTCGTGATTATTATAAAGGTCCCCTCAATAGACCTAAACTCGGCCCGGAAGTCAATGGTGGAGCAGCCCCCTCAAATAGAGCTAAACTCGGGCTGCGCGTAATAATAACCCCCCCCCCCGTCAATAGTCGTAATCCCCGTCCCGGTCTTATTTTTTGAGGTTTATGCAAATTCACACTCCGACTACAAAGTGACGCCCTGGTAGAGGAGAGACAGAGACCAGGCAAGATAGAGGAGACACAGAGAAGAGAGATAGCCAGCCTAATACTGTACAACTACTGAGAGCCCCGGCCCCAACTTAGAGCCCGGCCCCCGAAACAACTAAAGATGATCAGGGTGGCCCCCCCACTAATGCGGATTCGGGATGTTCGGGGGGAGGTAATCAGGAGATCACATTACATTTTCATTACGTTCTGAGGCTCCTTCTTCTACTGCAGGTCCTCTCCCAGTTTCTCCGATGCCCCGACACCGATCCTGAAGCCGAAAACCCCCTGAAACTCAATGCCCTAGCAACCCTACAACAGGCTGCCATGCGTCATGCAATCAAACCCTATAAAGCTTTGACAAAGCACTGACTAGTTCATAGCGCCCTAGAAAAGCTTACGACACTCTTTTATGTTAGCAACCTACGGGCTTAGTTCAGGGCTTTCGGCATGGCCTGAGGGTCCAGGGGGTTACTTCGGCTACATAAGCATCTACATCCGAAACCTTTTGGGGTGTACCATGGTGCACCCTAAGGGTCCTCGTGACATCCACAGGAAGGCGACAAAACAAACTTGTCACGCAGCAGCACGGCTCTTGGGCTCTGTGCCGAACATCCCTTTGGGAGTGCTCCTAACCTGTCATCGGAAGCCTTCTACCTTCTAATGAGTGTGCAATGACGCTGTGCTTACGGGGTATTGTATGACACCTACATGGACCTGCATTAGTCGCACCAGAGGAATATCCAACGTCCCTTGGGGAGTGGATGTTGCAAAGCTGCTGGTTGACTATTCCGATGCTTTCAAGCCTCGTTGAGAATGCTCTTCATAGTTCGACGAAGCGTCTGCGACATTCGCCACTTGCACTCGGAGTTGTACATCATTGAGATTGCCCAAGACCTCGGCCTCCGGCGAGTTCAGAATCCCCGTGATTGCCCCATCATCCGCAGAGCTGTTGGTTTGCTGTGCTGGCTTTTTGAAACATTCTGGAATCAGTGGCCTGAAGGTGCGCTCATCGTAGATCTTTGCAATCTCGTGGTCACGATTTTTCTGAATAAAGATAAAGGTCCATAGTCCACGAAGGGCGCCGAACAAACCTCCCATGCTTGCCAACCACAGAAATGCTCGAGAACTGGGCGATAACACGATGTACCGGTGCACGATTGGCTGCCAGCCAATGCTTAGGAGCCAGGCTGACCCCCCCTGCTCTGTGACCTTTTGAACATTCACGAACCATTGGCCTTCAAATGTGATATAAGGCCCATCATTCGAAGATGTGGGCCACTCTCCAGGATCGGCAGCCTCACCGGGATCGGCATTGGTGCCGGGATCGGAATTGATGCCTCGAAAGCGCTGGTATACAGCATGCCCTAAAAACTGGTCGAAGGGGCCGGTGTTGGTCCGAATGAAACGGAGCTTTTCAGCAAAACTAGAACCGCCTTCCATGGATGAGTATGACAAATCAACCCCGATTCTTGCACAGTGGGCGGGATCTGCGAACTGGGCGATTTCCAAATAGGTTTGCCTTGCCGGCATCCAGCTTCTAAGACTTGCTGTTTGGCTGGCCCGGCACACCCATAAAAAACTTCCCCCTTGCTCCACTGTGTCTCCGAGAAGTTCGGACTGAAGGCAGGCACATCCACCGTGCCATCGCATTGGCGGGTGTCTGCCACTTCCAAGAGAAACTGCATAGATGGAGTCATTCGCCAGCGAATAGTAAGAAGTTGACGAATTATGGCCGCAACACATGCAGACTTCGGGAAACTGCGCCAGCTTGACGTCCAAGCGGGCGAGCGGCTCGACTATGAGTGCGTATGCCTTGGAGACATTGAGTAGCGACTGGCTGACAGAAACACAAGACCAGATGAGATGTACAGAATTGCCGAGATGAAAAACACAAGTACCCAAATCCTGAACCCTAAATGCCTGTGTAGAAAGCACCCATGCTGCGCTCCTGTCTACCAGGAACGACTACGAAGCCAAGCAACTTCGAAGAGACCATATGCTGCCAGCACAGCAACCTAGGTTGGGTGTTAAAACTTCAAACCAGTATGATCGAAAAGGTTCTACAAAAGCATGCCTTAGCCCTAGTACGGGGAAAGCTAACCGCTATTCCCCAAAAGCCTAGAACGTAATTAAACTCTTAACCCTAAACTGAGCCCTGCCGAGCAACAAGCCCAAACTGACACACCTGTGCTCGGCGCAAGTATGGAGCCTCGACTTTCGGAGGCCAGTCCAACATTGCGCCAAAAAGCGTCGGTTCTGTCTTCCATCAGGACCAAATGACCCTTAAGAGTAGGGACCCTATACCCTAATACGATGAATCCTATATATCTTACATAAACCTTACCCCCTTTTAGGGTTGCTGAGTTCATAAGCCCTGAAAACTGTACACTATGAGTTTTACCGTGGGTATGATTTTCCCAAGAAGTGTAAAGTGCATCCACTCAGCTACTCAGGTCTTGAGCAAAGAAACTCTCGTGCGGGCCGTCCCTCGTAGCTGCTGTGACTGCCCCTAACTCCTGATACGCCCGCCCCAAACCCTCAACCCCTAAACCCCCAATATATGGGGGCCTCAATGCTTACAATAGGGTTTTGGGGCCCATTATACGATTATAATCAGGAACACCCAAAACAGTTTGGGTAAGTATATTTAGGCCCCTATATTAAGCTCCGAACCCCATACCCCAAACAGCCTAGGCAAGCCTAAAGAGCTCCCGACTGGCCCTTACAGTATAGATGGACACTCGGTACGGTTGATGACATAAATCCTGCGTTACCTTAATGACCCTAGACTATGGGAGGTATTTTCCTTATAATGGGTAATGCAGGATTTCTATCATCAACCGTATGATGCAGTGTTTGTTCCTTGTGCGGGGGTTTGGGCGCTCTCAATCCCTTTATTAGTACCCGAGAAAACAGCGTAATCCCTGGTATGAAAACCAAGAGGGTCCATATATCCTGCCTTCCTGGAATTAGGTCCCCAAAATACCACATCAAGGATGGTCTCTTCCAATGCAAATCCATAATTTTAGTTTATATGGACCCTCTCGAAAAAGGTGTCTTGGGTTCTCCTGGTCCTGGAACCTTAACCCTGATAACTCGACGAGCAGGAAGCACCTCGAGGTGCCGGCATCGCTGCAGAATCTACGCTTTCGGCATGGCCTGAAGGTCCAGGGCTACATCTGCGCATAAAAACACCTACATCCGAAACCGAAACGACTAAAACCTGCAAACCCCGAAACATCCAAAGAACCAGAATCCTTGAGCCAAAGATCCTAAAGGGACCGCCTCTAAAAAACATTTTAAAAGAATAGAGTTTTGGGGCCCATGATACTATATTTACAAAGTGGAACTCCCAAAATAGTATGGGCATTTACCTACGCCAATATATTAAATCATACTATATTACTCCCAAAATAGTATAGGCATTTAAGCCCCTATATTAACGCCCAGACCCTCACTTCAAAACCCTACAGGCCGGAAGAAGCCCTCAGGCCTTCAAACTTAAGCCCTCAATCACCCAAAAATTACGAAAACACTGAAACCCCACAAAGACACCCAAGCACCTTAACACACACTAGACACAACCCAGACAACGAAAGAGACGCCAAAATCTTGCAACATAAAGAACCTAAACCCTAAACCCTAAACCCTAAACCGTCCCTCACAGACCAGAACCCAACAGCTCCTCGTGGCCTCCGAAGCTCCGGTCTGAAACTCTGCGAAACCTGGGTCGCTTCAGCCGGGCTCTTCTGACCTGCGCGGTTGAATTTGGAATTTTTTAAGTAAAGTATAGAGTTTTCGGGCTTATACTTAAAGTACAAAGATTTAGGATTTAGGGGTTTAGCATGTAGGATCTGCTTAGACCACCCCAACTACCCTCCAACATACACTAAACACAGTATTGGGGACCATAAGGCTTAAGGGTTCTATTTCTGGGCGCTTAGCGCGTTTTGGCTTTCGGTTTAGGGCTGCAGCGGTTACTTTCAGAGCTTTCAGCGGGGGTTCCTTTGAACCGTTCCTGATTACTTAGAATACGACTTACAACAAAAACACAACTATACAGGATACTACATACAATGACTTCAGACTCACCGATGCATAGGAGGTTTAAGGCTCATTTTGAGCTTCGGGTTTTCGGGTTTAAGAGACACGGTCGAGCTTAAGGCTTAAGGGTGTAAGGCTTTGGTTTTCTTTGGGTCTGGGCTTTTCAGCATTCGAGGGAGTAGGGTACCAGGGTTCGGCGCTGAGTACTTGGGGCTTTAAGGTTCAGCGTTGTGGCTCTAGTAGCGGCTGAACAGAATGATTAGAAATGGCAAGGCTTGGAAGCATATCCTGCTACAGTGCCACTGCAAAGGAACTTTCGGGTCATACCAATTTAAAGCTGGCGTTGGCCCCACTGCCAGTGCTGCGGTATTAGTTACTAAGCTTATGATGACGATGATGCTGATGACAGCAATACGGCTCCCCTGGTCAAACGAATGTTCAAGCAATGACGCGAAATCCTTAACGAAAGCGTCTTAGGGTTTGGTCTTGGTCATTCGAGTAAGGGAGTGAAAGCCGGGAGGTTCGGATCTAGGGCTTTGCTCCGTGTTATACAGTAAACCCCGTAAAGTAGGGATCTTTAGGGTTCCTTTATAAGGGGACCTTTAGGGTTCCTTTAAGGGATCCATAAGGTTTCGAAGTAGAACCCATAAAGTTGGAAACCGGATTAAGGTCAAATAGTGCTGGGATTCCCTATACATTACTCTTAAGGGTTGAGGCTATTAGGTTTCCAACCTTTGGGCTTCTACTGTAGAGTGGGGCAAGCGAAAAACCAAGAACGGCATCTCCCAAATGCCCCTGCAAATCAGCCTTGTGGAGATACCTTCTTCGCAACTGTAGACCCCTGACTAATGAACTGCCTCACCTATTGTAGTAGGATCCCCCGTACAATTCTTGTTTGAAGCAGGGGGCTAGCAGGGGGTGGCTCATTTTTCAGGCATTTACATTAAGCTTCTGAACCACAGACACCTGCGGTATAGTATCCGTACATGAACTCCTATAGACCCCTTTGAGGAACGAATGAAGGAAGCCTTTACCCAAGCCTATACCTACATTCTAAACCCCTATGAACCCAACACCTTAAACCCTCACCCTGTCTAGTCGCGAAGCATCCCAGGGTTTCATGCGGAGCTTAACAGTAACAGTCTGTAACAAAGCTATTTGTCAGGGCATTACTTGTTTATATTGTATATGTATCTATAGATATACATATATATATACAAATATATACACACATAAGTGTATGTGTATATTATATATATATATATACGTACATATACATACTATTCAACTGTTACTGGGGGGGCAGTATCCAACCTAAACCTCGGCTGCCGAACTGTAGAGCCTCCGTCTCCCGCCCTAAACTCTCAAAAAGACTAGACGCTACTCTACGATACTTCTTCAGGGTTTCAGGCTTAGGGGTTAGATGATAGTAGCTTAGTCTTGTGTAGTATAGTAAAGTGTAGCATAATGTAGTATATGCTCGTATACTGAGCTGAGAAACCCTCATACACCCCATTATAGGACCCTTGCAGGAACCCTAAAGGGCTCCTTCAAGGGCTCCTGTAAGGGATCCTTTCGGGGTTCCTTCAAGGGATCCTTATCAAGGTACCCCAGGGCTTCAGTTCCCTTAAATAGTAGGTTACGAACCATGTATAATATACCCCAGTAACCTACTATTTGGTAACTGAAGCCCTAATGTAGGAGTCTTAATAATTAGAATAGTATTTTGGGGCTCATTATACTATATTTATAATAAGGAATCCCAGGTAGTTTTTAAGGCCCTTGTATTAGGGGTCCTTTTAAAAAGGAATAGCCTGTGTCTCAAGATGTCCATCGCCGGCAGAGCTGCAGCGTCGAGGAGTTCGGTGGCAAAGTGTTGGAGGCCGGCCCTCTCCTGCTTTAGGGTTCCTTTAACCCCAAGGCTCAAACTAGCCTAAAAGCCTTTTATGGTATGATCTTCGGGCCCATATTTCTTGAAATATGAGTCTTTAGATTCTAAGGGTAAGGGCTGCCTTACGAATTGCTTTGAGGGTTCCTGCAAAGGCTTCTTGAAGTGCTCCTTTCCGGGTCTCTGCAGGGGACCTTTCAGGTGCAGTTACAAGCGCTACATCCGGGAAAATCTTTCAAAGAGGGTCCAGCTACTACTACTACTACTACTACTACTACTACTACTACTACTACTACTACTACTACTACTACTATTGTGGAATTAGGTCCCCGAAAACAAAGTAAGCATGGTCTAATGCGACCTGATTCAATGATGGTCCGCGTTCTCATCGCGCTACTGATGACCAGCCTGCTTGCTATGTGTGTGGACTTCCAAGCACGTAGCCTTAAACCCTAGGCCAAGCCTCAAACCCTATAAGCCTCACCTAAACCCCCAAAAAGTATGTGAAACAACCCCCCTTCCAAATTCTTCAGGGGTCTTAGAAACCCTCAACCCTAAACCCCTAAACCCTCGAACCCTGAACCGCGGGAAGGTCATGACTTCTCTATTCGTCGAGGCACTGCGGCGCTGACGCCAAGACTTTGGCTCAGGGAGTCCGCGGCCACCCGAGCTGCCGGCATCGCTGAGAGCCTGAGGTCTCGAGTCCTATGAGGTTTCGGGTTTATAGGGTTTATTATGGTTTAGAAGGGTTTATAGGGTTTATAGGGTGTATAGGGTTTGCAGGGTTTATTAGGGTTTAAAGGGGATATAGGGATCATTAGAGTTTATTGTGGTTTAGGGTTGAGGGTTTAACGAGGTTCAGGGTTCAGGGTATGGGGGGGCTTTAAGGCGCTCCAAAAGCTCTATAGGGGATTGAAAATGAGGGGTGCTCAAAAAGGGCTCTTGTATTAGAGTTCTATGCGGGCCTTTGGGGTTCTAGGGTTTAGGGCATCGGAGTTTGGGGTTTAGGGTTTTCGTCTAAGGGTTGAGGATTCAGGGTGTTAGGCTGTGGGGTTTGAGGCTTAAGGGTTTGGGTTTGGGGCTTAGGGAGCTCTTTGGGGTGCTATAAGTGTTCTGGAAGGGGCTCTACTGTTTGATCTATACTTGCTCGGCATAGGATTCTATTTGATTTTCAGGGTTCTACAGAGGTTCTATGCTCAGAGGATCATGGTACTTTGTTAATAACTACTGTCCGAGGTGAGAGGTCACTACAAGTACAGCTACCTTGTTGTATCATCCAGGTTTACCGAATCCCGTGATCCTTCCAGTAAGGCTCTATATAGGAGCCCTACAACGGCTCTACTGTACAGCACGAGGGGAAGCAGTCCCTGTTTAGGTACTCGGGGGCCCAAGCATATGCTGGGACCCTAAGGGAAAGCCAGAAGGTGTCAAGTATTTTCTCCGGTGATGTTCCTGACGACTCGCATTATATATGCATAAGGCAAGCACCTGCCAGTAACACCGAAACTGCCCACCCACGAATACTCAAGCCAAAAAACTCACCCGAACCACCAACATAACCACTACTGACTACTGTATGTAACGAGTTGAGGCAGCGATACAGCCATACACACAAGGAGGGAAGGAGACATGCCTCGGATAGGGCCCCTGTGCTTTTCCGCAGGATTTGAGGCTTTTGGTTTCGCAGGGTGTCGCCACCCTATCAGTCGTTTCGGGTTCGACACCCGGGGCATCATGGGAGCACTGGAGAAGACCCTAAACCCTGAACCCCTGAACCCTGACCTCTTTCCCTAAGGCTCAAAATGGCCCAAACGCCTGATATAATATGGTCTTTAAGCACAAAGCCTTAAAATAGGAGTCCTCAGAGCCTCAGGGACTAACCCTACACCCTGATACTGGTGAAAGACCAGTGGCCATTGCAGGGTTTGGCTCCACGGCCCATCAGCCTGCGGTTTTGGTCTTCAGAGTCTAGAGTTATAGGGTTTTATCAGGTTTCCCAGCGTTGTATTACAAGGGTTTTGATTAAATTTTCATTTTTCAGGGTGTTACGGTCGAGGTTTACCTGTATCCCCAACCCTACAAATTTAAAAAAAGTAGGTTATGACAGCCTAGTCAGAGGGTAGAACTCTGAAAACACGAGGTTTTTGGATCCCGAGGTCACTAATGCAAGCACCAACACTGCCAAACGATCCCCAAAAGTCAGGACCTCAAGCCCCGAAACTGTTGATGATAGAAATCCTGCATTACCTTAAGGACCCTAAACTCTGGGAATTATGGTATATTCTTTATTATGGGTCATGCAGGATTTATATCATCAACCGAAGCACTGAACCCCGACTCTTCTCCGAAGCCAGAAAACCACAACGCAAAACTCCCTGGCTCTTAGTAGGGCATGGGGAATGGATCCCTGGAATACACTAGCCCCTTGATGCGCCTACCTACAGTGTTCCCCATAGCCCTTTTCTACCAAAAACTAGAAAAGAACCCGGTAGAAAACAGCACAGCCTAAGACGAAACTGCAGGGACCGAAGGGCATGGGAAAACCACGCTGTACTTGCAGTCCACAGGGAAAAACACATAAATATTGGGTTAGTTGGCTCTGTAGCAGGAACCCAGAACTAGAAATGTTAACACGCTTACCACCGAACAACCTACTTTGGGCTTGCATAGTTCAACAGTTTAGATAGACAATAAGAATAAATCTAAACATCAAAATTGTGCAGATACAACAATAGGTAGATACCGTTAAAATATATAAGCATTTATATATATATATATATATATATATATATATATATATACAAAAATACATACATATATACATATATATATATATATATACATATATATATATATGTACGTAGGACCTTTATGTATTATTTGACGGGTCTGTTTCCCTTCCAATAACTTCTTACGCCTTTTAAATAATTAAACGGCCCTTTCAAAATTTAAACGGCCCTTTCAAATCCTTAAAATCCTTAAAATTTTGAAAGCCCTATGTCTGGCTTTCAAAATTTTAAAGAATTTCAGGGTGCTTTTAAAATTCTAAAAGGCCCTTCAAAAATTTAAAAGGCCCTTTAAAAATTTAAAAGGCCCTTTCAAATTTGAAAGGCCTCCTTAAATTCTTTCAAATTTTGAAAGCCAGACACAGGGCTTTCAAAATTTTAAGGATTTTAAGGTTTTTTAAGAATTTAAATGGGCCGTGCCTGGCCCCAGAACAATTTAATTTAAGGAATTTGAAGGCCTCTTCAAATTTTAAAGGGCCGTCTAAGATTTTAAAGGGCCTTTTAGAATTTTAAAGGGCCTTTTAAAATTTTAAAGGGCCCTTTAAATTTGTTCAACGGCCCTTTAAAAATTGAAACGGCCCTTTAAAATTTTAAAAGGCCCTCTAGATTATTTCAATTTCTTGAAAATCCCTAAAATTTTGAAAGAGACTAAATTATTTTGGGGCGAGGCGCGGCCCATTTAGATTTTTAAAAATCCTTAAAATCCTTAAAATATTGAAAGCCCTGTGTCTGGCTTTCAAAGTTTGAAAGAATTTAACGAGGCCTTTAAAATTTTAAAGGGCCTTTTAAGTTTTAAAAGGGACTTTTAAATTCTTATAGGGCCTTTTAAAATTTTAAAAGCACCCTGAAATTCTTTAAAATTTTGAAAGCCAGACACAGGGCTTTCAAAATTTTAAGGATTTTAAGGATTTTTAAGAATTTAAATGGGCCGTGCCTGGCCCCAGAACAATTTAATTTTAAGGAATTTGAAGGCCTCTTCAAATTTTAAAGGGCCTTCTAAAAATGTAAAGGGCCCTTTCAAATTTTAAATGGCCCTTTAAAATTTTAAACGGCCCTTTAAAATTTTAAACGGCCCTTTAAAATGTTAAAAGGCTCCTTAGACTCTTTCAAATTCCTAAAACTCCTTATAATTTTGAAAGAAACGAAATTATGTTGGGGCCAGGCACGGCCCATTTAAAATTTTAAACATCCTTAAAATCCTTAAAATTTTGAAAGCCCTGTGTCTGGCTTTCAAAATTTTTAAAGAATTTCAGGGTGCTTTTAAAATTTTAAAAGGCCCTTTAAAAATTTAAAAGGCCCTTTAAAAATTTAAAAGGCCCTTTCAAATTTGAAAGGCCTCCTTAAATTCTCTCACATTTTGAAAGCCAGACACAGGGCTTTCAAAATTTGAGGGATTTTAAGGATTTTTAAAATTTTAAATGGGCCGTGCCTGGCCCCAGAACAATTTAATTTTAAGGAATTTGAAGGCCTCTTCAAATTTTAAAGGGCCGTCTAAAATTTTGAAGGGCCTTTTAAAATTTTAAAGGGCCTTTTATAATCTTAAAGGGCCCTTTAAATTTGTTCAACGGCCCTTTAAAATTTTAAACGGCCCTTTAAAATTTTAAAAGGCCCTCTAGATTATTTCAATTTCTTGAAAATCCCTAAAATTTTGAAAGAGACTAAATTATTTTGGGGCCAGGCACGGCCCATTTAAAATTTTAAAAATCCTTAAAATCCTTAAATTTTTGAAAGCCCTGTGTCTGGCATTCAAAATTTTAAAGAATTTCAGGGTGCTTTTAAAATTTTAAAAGGCCCTATAAGAATTTAAAAGGCCCTTTTAAAATTTAAAAGGCCCTTTAAAATTTTAAAGGCCTCGTTAAATTCTTTCAAATTTTGAAAGCCAGACACAGGGCTTTCAAAATTTTAAGGATTTTAAGGATTTTTAAGAATTTAAATGGGCCGTGCCTGGCCCCAGAACAATTAAATTTAAGGAATTTGAAGGCCTCTTCAAATTTTAAAGGGCCGTCTAAAATTTTGAAGGGCCTTTTAGAATTTTAAAGGGCCCTTTCAAATTTTAAACGGCCCTTTCAAATTTTAAACGGCCCTTTAAAATTGTAAAAGGCTCCTTAGACTCTTTCAAATTCCTAAAACTCCTTATAATTTTGAAAGAAACTAAATTATATTGGGGCGAGGCGCGGCCCATTTAAAATTTTTAGAAATCCCTAAAATCCTTAAAATTTTGAACGCACTGTGTCTGGCCTTCAAAAATTTAAGGAATGTAAGGGTGCTTTTAAAATTTTCAAAAGGCCCTTTAAAAATTCAAAAAGGCCCTTTAAAAATTTAAAAGGCTCTTTCAAATTTTAAAGGCCTCCTGAAATTCTCTCACATTTTGAAAGCCAGACACAGGGCTTTCAAAATTTGAGGGATTTTAAGGATTTTTAAAATTTTAAATGGGCCGTGCCTGGCCCCAGAACAATTTAATTTTAAGGAATTTGAAGGCCTCTTCAAATTTTAAAGGGCCTTCTAAAAATGTAAAGGGCCCTTTCAAATTTTAAACGGCCCTTTAAAATTTTAAACGGCCCTTTAAAATTTTAAACGGCCCTTTAAAATTGTAAAAGGCTCCTCAGACTCTTTCAAAATCCTAAAACTCCTTATAATTTCGAAAGAAACGAAATTATATTGGGGCGAGGCGCGGCCCATTTAAAATTTTTAGAAATCCCTAAAATCCTTAAAATTTTGAACGCTCTGTGTCTGGCCTTCAAAAATTTAAGGAATGTAAGGGTGCTTTTAAAATTTTCAAAAGGCCCTTTAAAAATTTAAAAGGCCCTTTAAAAATTTAAAAGGCTCTTTCAAATTTTAAAGGCCTCCTGAAATTCTCTCACATTTTGAAAGCCAGACACAGGGCTTTCAAAATCTTAAGGATTTTAAGGATTTTTAAAATTTTAAATGGGCCGTGCCTGACCCCGGAACAATTTAATTTTAAGGAATTTGACGGCCTCTTCAAATTTTAAAGACTTGCTAAACCCCTGCTCGGTTCTCGTGTGGTGTTTACAGCACATTTACAGCACGTTCACAGGGTCGCGGCCCGATCGCAGCAAATGAACCGCTGCTCGGCTTTCGTGTGGTATTTGCAGCACTTTGACAAGGTTGCAGCCTCGATTGCCTAATTCATTTCAAGGAGGAGAATGAAAATTCCAAAACAGATTTCGAAGAGTAGGATCGGGAGAAAACCACAAGAGACTTTGAATAGGAATATGGGAATACTCTCTTCTCCATAGGAGAATAGGCGTAGGGCCATGGGCAGGAGAGAATGGGCGATGCATGTTTGGGAGTAGGGAGTAGGATGGATTCGACCCTGGGGGTGGGAAAACAAAGCAATGAAAGGGAAATGATTTTCAATGAGTTGTATTGATTTTCAAGAGAGTAAGAGTAAGAGTAGGAGAATTGAAGTGGCAGAGTAGGAAGGTAAGTGTAAGAATAGGTGGATACTTGATACGTGAGTAGGAGTACGGGAAAAGCACTAGAAGATTTGCATAGCAGGACAGTAGGAATAGCAATAGCGGATTCTTGCACAGGCTCTTGCATGCTTGCTCTTCTACTCCTACCTTTCCGTTTCCATTCTCCCACTGTCATTCTGCTACTCCTTCTCTTGTATTCGCTTTCTCCTGTTACGACTCTCCTTCTCCTATTCAACTTCTACTCCTGCCTTCCTCCTCTCCTACTCCTAATGTATGACTCCTCCTCTCCTACTCTAACTGTTACTATCTCTCCGTCTCTTATTTGCATATACATTCCCATCCCCCGCCTCCTACCGTCCCATGCCGCTACTCAAGCTCCTGTTTCCTCCACCCCCTTATCCTCCTACTTTTAATGTTCCACTCCCATTCTCTTGGTCTTACTCCAACTCCTTCATGTCCAATCTAGACTACTTACTTGTTCTATTCTTTAACTCCTACTCGCTCAATTTAGTGTCCTACTCCGTACCCGCCCTGCACCTCCTCTTACGCCGACTTCTACCGCTATTCCTGTTCTTACCCTGACTCTCCCCTACACACATCTTGAGCCTTCCTAGTTTTCCCAATTCCCACCACCATATCTACTGTCTTATTGTTATTCCAGCTCTCTTATGTCTACTTCTAGACTACCTGTCCTACTCTTCTACTTCTACTCTCTCTAAATTTGTTTCCCGCTCCTTACCACCCCCCATCCCGCACTACACCTCCGCTTAGCGCTACTTCTAAGGTTCTACCATGTTCTACCGCTACTTTTGTTCTGATCTTGTTCCTACAGGTACGGTATTCCTAGGCTTGTCCCAATCTCTACATCTGTTGTTATTCCTACTGCCCTACCTCGATGCCTACTCCGTGAAGGGGAGGAAAAGAAGAGTAGGAGTAGGAGAACAAATGGGAAAAGAGTAGGAATAGAAGAGTAATCCAATGGAAAGAGGAGACTAGGGGCAGGGAGAATACGAATCACATCACAGCGAAGGAATAGAAGAGTAGGAGCGGGAGAAAACGAGTAAGAAACCAGGAGTAAGAGAGTAGAAGTAAGAGAGTGGGAGAGGAGAGTGTGTTGTTAGAGGAGCAGGAGTAGGAGAGTAGGCAGAAAGCAAGAGAACAGGACAGCAGAAGAGTAGCACAGGAGGAGAACAGGAGAATGGGGGGTGGAGAATAGGAAAGAAGGGAATTGAAAAACCTCCGGGGGATTGGAAACTGTAAAAGGGCAGCAGAAGCATGAGCATGGAAGTAGGAGAGTAGGACTGTGAACATGGGAATAGGAAGGTACGAATAGGAGACTAAGAGTGGCCGAGAGCAGGAGTGGGAAAGCAGGAATAGGAGAGCAGCGGTATGATAATAAGAAGAACAGGAAGGTAAAGTAGATGAAAAGGAACAAGAGGGTAGGAGTAGGAGAGTAAGAGAACAAAAAGCAGGAAGATAGGAGTGACATGATGGGATTGAGCAAAGTATGAGATAGACTCCGGTTCCCATCATATTCCCACCCCATTACCTGTACTTCCCTATTCCTATTCCTCTATTCCTGCCGATTAGTAGGATGAATTCCACACCAGGGGTACGACAAAAGTAGTGTAAGGGAAATGATCTTTCAACCAGTAGTAAGTAGACGGTTTCAAAAGAGTTTTTTTTAAATAGTCGGAGAATAATTAGGCAGGGCAGGAAGGTAACTGCAAGAATCGGAGAATAGGGTTAGGTGAGTAGGAGTACAAGATAAAGAGATTAGAAGAGTAGCATAACAGGATAGTAAGATGTCATATCTTGCTCCTACTCTCTTATTCGTAGTCTTCTGGTACGTCTCTTCTACTCCTTTTCTGCTAAATTCTACTCCTGCCTTCCTACTCTCTTACTCCTAATATGTGGCTCCTCCTCTCCTAGTCTAACTCTTCGTCTCTTGTTCGCATATTCCTGTCCTCCGACTCCTAATGTCAAACTCACTGTGCACATTCTCACTCCTATTTTCTCCGCCCCCTATCCTCCTATTTCAAACACGTTCTACTCTCATTCTCTTTGTCTTATTCCCACTCCCTCATATCCATTCCTACTCTCTCAATTTAGTTTCCGATTCCTTGCCCTCCATGCACCTTCTCTTAGGGCTATTTCTAACCGCTATTCCTGGTACTCTCTCCTACACGCATGTTAGTTATTCCTAGTTTTGCGCGATTCCCACCACTGTATTTCCTACTGCCTACTCCTTGGAGGGAAAAGAAGAGTAGCAGGAAGACAGCAGCAGTAAGAGAATACGAATGGAATGGTCGCAATAGGAGAGCAGGGGGAGTAGACGCAAGGTGAGTAATCGAATAGAGGAAGGAGACTAGGGGTCGGGAGAATACGAATCAAAGCAAAGGCACAGAAGAGTCGCAGCAGGAGAGTACGAGCAAGAAGCCACGAGTACGAGAGTAGTCGGAGAGTGGCAGTAGTGGGAGAGTGGGAGTAGAAGAGCAGGAGTAAGGGCGTAAGAGGGTGAGGAGTGGAGGATAGGAAATAAAGAATGAAAGATCACTGAAACAGGAAAGGAGGAGCATGAGAATGGGAGTAAGTGAGTAGGACTAGGCAAATGGGAATAGGAAGGCGCGAATTGAAGAGTGAGAGTGGTAGAAAGCAGGAGTAGGGTAGTAGGAATAGGAGAACTTGCAGGTGACTTTGGGCTGCACAATCTTAAACCCGACGAGGAGCCCGAGCAGCTACGACACCTCAACCCTGAGCCCTAGTTGAATAATTTAGACTCAGTACTATACAAAGAGAGACCCGTCAAATAGTACATAAAGGTCCTTGCCACATATATATATATATATATATATATATATATATAAAATACATACATATATATATATATATATATTATACATATATATATATATATACATGCAGGGCCCAGAACACCCCAGCAGCGGGGATTGCTGTAGAGCCCCAGTGCCCGAATCATCGCCCATGTACGGGAAGGGCACGCCTAGAAGAGCTAAAGCTCGATGGTGGCATGCAAATCTTCGTCAAGACATAGCCTGGCAAGGCTGCAGTAGATGCGGTGGTCGCCCATGGCCAAGCTACACAAGCATGCTGGCGGAGGCAGTTGTGTGGCCCACCATGGACAATTTTTGCTCGTGCAGGCTGAGTCCTGTGCATGTTGAGTCAGACGCAGCAGGTCTCTGGTTTGGTGGCCCCGAGGGGCATGCATGCTACGATGATCCTGGTAAGAGCTTTTCTGCGAATGGCGCGGATGAAGTGTTTGATGCAGATGCAGCAGGACTCTGGCTTGATGGCCCCGCGGGGAATACATGCTGCGATGATCCTGGTGACAGTTTTGCCGCGGTGTCTGATGCAGACGTAGCAGGTCACTGGCTTGATGGCCCCGAGGGGAATACATGCTACGATGATCCTGCTGACAGCTTTTCCGCGAATGGCGCGGATGAAGTGTTGGAGGACGGTGAAGTCGACGTGCCAGCCCAACGCAGTGCTGGTTACGTCCAGGCTGCCGTGGACTCTCTTGGTGATTGCCATGGCAGGGACGGACTTTGCACCGATGTGTCTGGATGGGTTGACGATGCAAGTAAACGTGGCCTGCTTCTCTTCACGCAGCTACATGATGAGCTTGGCGTTGCCACAAACTGGCGTGGGGCTTGGGAGCCTTTGCCAGAGGCTTCGTATGGCCGTGGGCGGTGGCAAATTTTTTGGTGGTGGTGGTGGTGGTGCCATCCCGAACCACCGCTGGGAACTCTTCTGCCGTGAATGCGACATTCGACCCGCATTGGTTTGTGACAGGGACCTTGACTGTGAGCAGGTGCAAACTGCAGTTGTCAACATTGACTATAACGTCCAGCAGGTTGCGGCGTTGAATGTCGATGTCTCAGGCTTGCCGCCTTTACAGCGGTGGTGGGAGCTCATTGCGGAGGACCTCGGCTACTACAACAACCCCTTCAGCAAAACCATGTGCATCGTCCAATCGAGGCTGCAGGAGCAGGCCAACGACTCGACCAAGGGCGGCGATTCCATAGGGGATCAGGGCATCTGCATTCCGGGCTCCGCTTCGGGGCGTAGTTGTGCAAAGTTCTCCTTTGATCCAGGGGGATCTTCCTTCGGCTGTTACGGCCTGCTGCATATTGCTGTAGGTTGCGTGGGGAGTACGGTTAGTTGGCTGTCGTGGTAGTTCACGGAGTCTTGACCAGTCTCCTCTGAGGCAACTTCTTTGGTTTCTGTCGTTCTGCATGAAGTTTTTACTGAGGCGACGGCTTTTTCGCAGTACATGTGTGGCCGGGTAAATCTTCTCGTGGCTTCATGTCTATACATCTCAGCTCCTCGGAGCTTTTCGTGGCAGATTTCTGCTCCGCAGACGTTCTGTGAGTGCATACTGGCCTCAAGGGCGTGATCGGCAGATCAGGCTCCTGCCCTTACAGTCGGCTCAGCTTCTGTCTGCAGACTCGCTCCTCCCCTTTAATTAGATGCAAGCCAAAGGGCCGCGTCGCTACGACTCTTCGCCCGAAACAGCAGAAACAGCAGATATATACATGCATAAAAAATGTGTATATATATATATACATACACATATACATATATGTACATATATATATAGAGAGAGAGAGAGAGAGAGAGAGAGAGAGAGAGCTTCTGAAGAGATGGCCCCGTTGGCGGCCCTGACCTCGAAGACTCCCAAGGCTGAGTTGAAAGAGATCGTGTTGAGACTCAGTCCTGGGATTCTTCGGATTTGAGGTTTTAGGGTTCTGGGTTTCCTGGGATTAGGGTTTAGGGGTTTAGGGTTTAGGGGTTTAGGTTTTACGGGTTTAGGGTTTAGGGGTTTGGGGGTTTAGGGTTTAGGGGTTGAGGGGTTTAGGAATTTAGGGTTTAGGGGTTTAGCGTTTAAGGTTTCCTGGGATTCTTAGGAGCTGAGTACCCTCGCCCAAGAAAGGTTAACCTTTTCAGTTCTGGTAGGACCCATTAAAGGTTACCTCTAATCAGCCCCTAGGGATTTCATCGGGCTAGTGGCCCTAAGCCCGAAGTTGTGCTTTTGAGGGTTTAGAGTTTCGGGGATTCGAGTGTGGGTTTCAGTAGATTGGGCCTGTGGATTCGGGCATAGGTGTTGGGCTTTCATATTTTGGGTTTACGCTTGACACTGTTGGGTACGTCGCGGTCTGTATTTCGGGTGGGTGTAATTGAGGCTTTTGGCTCTGCCAGTTGCGGGACAGATCAAAAGCTTTTGGGTTTCGGAATTCAAAATTTAACCACTGCATGTTAATAGAAATGATTCTGAGAGTGGAGGTACACAAATGATGTGGACCCCTGAAGAAACCCTAAACCCCAAACTAGGCCCTAAACTCTGAACTCTAGACTAGGCCCTAAACCCTAATCCCCAATCCTCAGCCCTAAATCCTAAACCCTAACCCTAAACCCTAAATCCTAAACCCTGCCGTAGTCGGCCTGGAACGGATTCTACGATTACGGCCCCTGCAGCAGGTGTTTTAGTGATCGTGAACTTCACCAACGTTACCTTAATCCCTGAATCTCGGACCTTACTTCTGTTAAATTCCCCTCCTAAACCCTAAACCCTAAACCCCCTGTTAAATAACCTTCCTAAACCCTGAATCTCGGACCTTATTTCTGCTAAATGACCTAATGGCCGCAAGCTTATGAAATCTGAAACAATGTTGTTTTTTTCAAAAGGGCGGTAGATTGCTTCGGGGAAGATTTTAAAATCTGATAAACCTTAAACCTCACCTCAACCCCACAGGACCTACCCTTTAAGAACCTACATATAAAGGAGTCAGACTTGTAATGCGAAGAATGTTACTTTATATACTACATATAAGACTAACAATAATGATTAATAATAATGATAATAATAACAATAATGAGCCCTAAAAGTGTGGGTTTCTTAGGACCCGGGTAAACTGCAACACACACGAAACCTCCAGAGCCTCCAAAAGTACATAACACAAAATTAAGACTTAAGACCCTAAACCCAAAGCTTCGACTAAGTACTCTGCCCCCCCGAGAACAATCGCAGGCCCAATACCACTGCAAGAACACATACTGATGTTCCAAACCCACATAAATATGATGAAATCGCGTATAAAACAGATCCAGATGCTCAAGGAGCCAAGCTGGGACATCTCAGGAGAAGTGGGTGTCCTTCACTTGGTCGGGCACGGCCAAAGGAGGTTCCAGGGAACCTTCTGCTGTGCCGGTGCATTGCGGTTCCGGCGAACCCAGCTGTCGTGCACCGCACGCTCTGTGGCAAGTCTGTTTTACCCTCCAGCATGCCCAGCAATGCCATGTGAACGCCATCTTCGGAGTTCTGGACAAACCATGCAGGTTGGTCTGCTGACTGCTGCATCATGTGACAGGAGGTCGGGAGCACCCTCCTGTATTTCCGACAGCATCAACAACTGTCAAACAAAACCAAGCCCTGACATAGGGTTGACAGGATCTCGAATTGGGCACTAGGATAGCAGTAGGGTAGCTTACTGTGTAAGAGAGTATATGAATGATATTGGCTACTTGAACCCTTAGAGGTCGTAATCACATGCCCTACCAAGATCAGCAGACAATTACTGCGGTCCGAAGTGCTAAAACCAAGCGCCGGCTATAACTGTAGGCTCCTTTGGACCAGAAGGATAAGGCACTCTTCGACTAACCCCAAGCTCTAAACCCTTACTTGTGGAAGCCAAAAACCCTTCAAGCAACCCTTGAAGGAACCCTTAAGAGAACCCTTAAAGGAACCCGTAAAGGAACCTTCGAAGGAACCTTTAAAAGAACCCGTAAAGGAAACCTCGAAGGAACCATTAAGAGGACCCTACGCTTACCGACAGGTCGCGCTGACTGCACCCTGCCGCAAGAACTGCGAGGGCTTGGCGCCACTGACCTCCTCGCTCGCCTTTGTTTTGGGAGGTTTAAGGTTTTGGGTTTAGAGGTATACGTATCAGTAAGAAACTCGCGTAGTCCGTATCTAGTTATAGAAGTCTATACCCCAAAACACTGTGCCAACTGCAAAGGCCTCTATATAGGGCCTTAAGTTTTGGGGCTTGGGTAAAGGGTGCTTAAGGGTTTCATAAAACCTCTGTCGCTGTGACGAGGTGTTGTCTTATGGAATGGGAAGATGACTGCTGTGGTTTCATAGGGTTTTGCTAGGCTGTCATGAGGCTTCACTGGGTGAGTCCTTCAAGCGACGAGGTCCGGATAGGGTCAGAAACTGCAATTCCGCAACTCCGCTGTCAGTATGCATCCAGCAGCAGCGGCTTAGGGTGAAAGAGTTTGGTGTGTGTGTGTGTGTGGCTTGAGGGTTCCAAACCTTACATCCGGAAGCCTGATACTCTGAACTCTCGAGGCTGTAAATTAAGCCCCAGTATGGAGCTCTCATATATGAACTTTAGCTAGGGCTTCATACAGCCTTGTAGAACCTTATAGTGCCCTTGAAGGCTTGAATGAACCTCTACGGGTTCCTTTAAGGGTTCCCTTTAAGGGCTCCTTCAAGGAATCCTTGCAAGGAGCTCTAAACTCCTCGCTCTGCCAAAGGTCGCCTGCCGAGGTACAGGCGGTGATGGCGGAATTCAGGCTGATCCTGGAATTATAGGATCCTTAAGGGAGGGTGGTTCAAGGGGGGAGGGTATAAGGAATCCTTAGGGGACTGTAAGGGAACCTTAGGGAGTACTAGGGATCCTGGTTTAGGACTTGGGATTTAGGGTTTAGGGGTTGCGGTTTAAGGGTTAGGGTTTAAGGTTTGGGGTTTAGGGATTAGGGATTAGGGTCTAGGGGTTAGGGTTTAGGGTTTAGGGTTTATGGCTGATCCTGGAACTCTTGCTTAAATGATATTGGGGCCTCGATGTTTGGAATAGGGTTCTGGGGAGTACTATCATGGACATATATATATATATATATATATGTTTACGGATAGATAGATAGATAGATAGATAATGGTAACAACAAGGAACTAAGAAATTGTAGGGGCCGTAACCAATAGGATTGCCACAGTATCCTTCTAATACAGAATCCCCTTGAGAACCCACCGAAAGGCTGCATGGGCCCCTTTGTAGGGATCTATTTAAACCACAGGGTCCTTTCAAGCGATCTTTTTTCAGCATTCTACAAGATTTCAGGATCCCCTTCCGGGGTCTATAAGGGTTCTATTCTATACGGGTTTAGAGTTCAGAGTGTAGGAATACTGGCTGATCCTGGCAATCCCGGCTCTACGGGGTTTCGGGCTTGGGGTTCAATGCTTCACTGTTTAATTTCTATTTTCGCTTGAGGGCTCACGGTTTAGGGCTTCGAATTACGTTTTCAAAGAAGGGTCGAGGATTCGGTGTTTAGTTCAGGGAAGGCTCTGGGACTTTCCAGCTTTGAGCAACCCGCGGCCCTAAAACTCTAAATCACGCACCCCCCAAACCCCAAAACCGTGACCCTAAAACTAACCCTAAACCCTAAGGCAAAAACATCGAGACTCTAACGCTGAAGCCAACTAGCCTCTACGGAAAGCTGAGGGGCACGTTGGTCTGCACTGCGCTTGCGGACATCTCCACAAAAAGCCTGAGCCCAGGCATGCTGGTTTATTTAGGTCGGTGGTCTCTTCGATTAGGCTTTCTGTTTAGGCGGCTGTATATAGGGATCCTTATTAGAGCTAAATTAGGCAGTATAGGAACAGATAAAGAGACCACCAGCCTGTTTAAATGCTGGTGGCTTCAATTGTAAGTTCCCACAGTGAAAGGGTCCTAGGTACTGTCATGGGCGATACTGCCCCTTCAAGTGTTCTGTTAGGGTTCCTTAAGGGATTCTTCCCCAAGTCAAAATATTACTTCCTACTATAGAAACCCTACATTCTACTATATGGGCACTTTGGACCCTTTGGGGTTGTAGGCTTTGAACCTACAAAACCTGCATTTGGGTTTCCTTGTGGTGATTTCCTGGTGAATGTCCTCAAAAGGTAGCCTATATAGGATCTGCATTGTAGTACCTCTGCTACCCTCTCACCTATGACCTTTAGGGGGGGGGACCTGACTTTGTCTTAATGACGAGCTTGCTTTGCTAAGGTTGAAACCATGGGCCCCTAGTATTGCATGGGTCCTTAATCCGGGGATCCTTACGTACGTACTGTCATATACCCTATATGTCGCAAGAGCCCGTTTCAGCACACTGATATTTCTCAAGAGTAAACGACGACCTTGAGCGACAAACATCTCATACCCTTGGACATAGGGCTTGGAATATGATTGAATACGAACGAAAAGCAATGTTCAAACGGAGAAACCACATATGTTATAGTTTAGTGTCGTGCCACTCAGTCATGTCTTCCAGAGGCCTCCTGCTCCACACACAGAAAAGCCCCAAATTCCAAAACCCGGAAAATCATTGTTAAACCTGAACCATAATCCTAAATCCTCCAAGAAGACGAGTCACAAATACCAAACATGGAAGACTAAACTGAAAGGTCTACTCTTCGATCTGGTATGAAATCCTTGTAGAAGCACGATCCTTTGGTGCCCAGCGGCTGCAGAGCTCTCAGCCACTGTGCGGCCCTGGCGACAGAGCTGATGCCTTTCTTGGCCAGGCTGCGGGCATAAGGTTCTGGTTTGTGTGTATAAAAGTGCTTGGTTGTTAAGGATTCCTTCAACGGCTCCTTTAAGGGTTCCTTCAGGGGTTCCACAAGCTTACTAGAGGAAGTAGAGGGCAATGGTTCCCAGATTTCCCGAAATCGCCATGAAGTTTGTGCTCATGCTCCGCATAGGTCTAGGCTTTGGACTGCAGAGTTTGAAGTTTAGGTTGTAATGCTGTTGAACAAACCTGCAAATGAGGAGTAACTGATTTCTGCGGCAGAATCCCATAAGACTTGTCATAAAAAACAGGATAAGACACCCTTCTACATTCCTGAAGATTGTCCCAAGCCGTGAACCCTAAACCCTGACATGCGTTTCCAGGACAATCGGCTTTAATATGTTTAAGAAGGTTTCTAGGTCCCCCGGCCATGCCAATTCCATCGGGGCTTCAGGCTCAATTCTCATATGGGGATTCATAGTCCTTAAACCCCAAACCTTAGCCCTAAACCTTCGGAGCCATAACCCGTGAACCCTACAATCAAACACTTATACCCTGAAGCCAAACCTTAAACCCTTAACCAGACCTTTAACCCCACACCTAAATTCCGAACCCCAACACACCTGAAGGCCCGAGACCATGAACATAGACCTTCAAGGAACCCTAAACCCCTATAGTACCCTCAAAGGAACCCTTAAAGGACCCCTTCAAATGAAAAACCCGAAACCCCTATGGTACCCTTCAAGGGAACCCTAAACCACCCTAAACCCCCATAGAACCCCTAAAGAAACCCTTAGAGTAACCCTTTAAAGGGACCTTAAACCGTAAAGGCCCATCAAAGGACCGCCAAACTATCCTACTATATAGGGTCCCCTATTTTCGGAACCTCCCAATGGACACCCTAAACCCTAAACCCATAATAGAACCCTTATAGATCCCTTAAAGGAGCCCTTAAAGGTCTCTTTAACGGAACCCCTATCGTACCTTGAAAGGAACTCCCTTATAGTACCCTTAAAGGAACCCTTATAGTACCCTTGAAGGAACCCTTATAGTACCCTTAAAGGAACTCCTTCAAGGACCCCTTTAAAGGAACCCTGAACTCCTATAATACCCTTCAAGGGAACCCGAAACCACCCTAAACCCCATACAACCCCCTAAAGTTTAAAGGAACCCTTAAAGTAACCCTTTAAATGAAAAACCCTAAACCCCTATGGTAAACCCCCATAGCACCCCTTAAAGGAACTCCTTCAAGGACTCCTCTAAAGGAACCCCGAACTCCGATAATACCCTTCAAGGGAACCCGAAACCACCCTAAACCCCATAGAACCCCCTAAAGTTTGAAGGAACCTTAAAGTAAAAGCAAAAAGGTTGGAACATGATTATCCTAAACCCTGTATGGTAAATTATAAGGTATCCTACCCTGAAACCATATTCCAACTTTCTGGAATTCCCTTTAAAGTAACCCTTTAAAGGAACCCCGGGAACCCCGAAAAGAGGCGAGAGGCAGGCGCTGAAGGCTGTCACGTCGCTCTCCACCCCTCGAGCCGCCATCCTCGGGCTCGCCCCTTACCCGGGAGTTTAGGGTTTAGGGTTTAGGGTTTAGGTTTTAGGGTTTCCTAACCCCGAAGGAACCTTAACTCCCTAGTACACAATCCTATGGATCCCTTGTAGATCCTAACCCGCAGTAGAAGCCGGAAAGTTGGAACATCACTGTCCTCATGCGCTTATAAGGTAGAGTATATGGAACTCCAGCACTATTCATCCTAGATCCATGTTCCAACTTTCTGGAGTTCACTATAAGTTGTTGTTTTGGGGGCTCCTTTAAGGGTCCCTTTTAAGGGTACTTTAGGATTTAGGGTTTAGGGTTCTCGCCCCTTACCCAGACCCCCGGTGGGATTAGGGGTTTCGAGGGTTTTAGGGGCTAGGGTTTAGGGTTTTCGGGTTTTAGGGTTTGTAGGGGTTTGGAGGGTCTTGTTGTGTTTGGTTTAAGGCTCCTGTAAGGGATGCTTTCATTAAGGGTTCCTTCAAGATTTAAAGTTTAGGGTTCCTTTAAGGGTACTTTAAGGTTTAGGGTTCAGGGGCATCCTCGGCTCGCCCCTTAAAAGGGGTCCACGTACCCAGGGTTCCTTACCCCAAGGGTCCTATATATAGTAGACTGTAGGGTTTCCATATTATTCGTATTATGACTTAGGGAAGTATTCCCCATATATACCCAGGGAGGATCTAAAAAAGTTAGATCCCCTAATTTGGAACCCTAGCTACTAAAGGGTACTTTACAGGAACCCCCTTTAAGGGATCTACTTTTTGCATCCTCGGCTCGCCGCTTAAAGGGTCCATGAACCCAGGGTTACCGAATGTACGGAATCACCATTATGACTTAGGGAAGTATTCCCCATAACAGTACATAGGACCCTTTGGGTTAGGATCTACAAGGGATCTATAGGATTGTGTAATAGGGGTTAAGGTTCCTTAAGGGGTTAGGGTTCCGGGTTTAGGGCACATTGGTAATTCGCTAAATTAAGGTCCTTCTTTGAACCAATAATTTATGAGGGTGCCGCAATATTTTGGGGTCGCTGACTTCTTTCGGGCTCTATTGAAAGGGTTCGGGGCTTTGGATTTAGGGCTTTAAGGCCTTGGAGTTTCATGTCTTGGAGCTTGTAAAAGTTACGGCGGGAGGTTTATAGGGCTTAGATCCCAGCGTCGGGGTGGTATTCAAGGTCCCTTTGTTTAATGAGCTTTGAAGGGCATATGGTGGGTTTAGGGTTCATGGTGTAGGGTTCGAGGTCTTGGCTTCAGGTTCTTGGGTTCAGGTTTCAGGGTTTAGGTCGAGCTTAGGGGACGTATAGGGGATGGCTATAGGGTTGCGCGATTTGTTGACCCTACAGCAACCCTTGTAGAAATTCTTATAGTAACTCTTAAACCCTATACCCCAACCCTTATGGCAACTGTTGTAGTAACCCTTACAGCAACCCGTTTATTTAAGGTTTTGGGAGCTCACATGGGTTCGGGTTCAGCGGCTGTTTGGGGTTTGGGATCGAAGGTCGACAGACCCTGCAGGACAGACGGTGTGGGGGATCATTTTGTCACTGTTACCCGAAGTCTCCAAATAGCCCAAAGTAGGTAGCATTTGTAGACTTTAGACCCCAAAGTAAGTACTGTTTGTATATTTGGAGTCTTAGGGTTATGGGCTTGTGGAGTTCAAGGTTTTAGGGCTCCAGCATGTAAACAAGAACGAACACGCGACAAGTAACGACACCTCTTTTTCTCCATCTTCTATCGGCTCTGCTTTCGGGGTTCTATGGTGTGTGGGTGCAGGCTAAAGGTTCTAGGGTTAGCATTTTCCAGGGGTCCTCATTTTGAAGCCATGCGGGTGGCTGTCAAAATTATGGTCCCTTTTTGGGTCCTTAACCAAATACGGCACCTAATATTTGGGTGGTTGTCAAAATTATGGTCCCTTCTTGGGTACCCTAAATATTAGGTGCCGTATTGGAATAAGGACCCAAAAAGGACCCTAATTTTGACAGCCACCCATTTAGGGTGCCCAATTCGGGACCATCTTTTTTGACAACTACCCATGTGCGAAATGCAGGAGCACCTTGTGACTGGGTTGGCCCTTGAAAGCCTCTGAAAATATTCGTAAATGGGGTCCTATTCAGCCCAATACGGGAAAATATAAAATGTCACAAAGGCCTACCTACATGAAGGGTGGGTTTGAGACGAGGGTCTCCGATAGGAGTTGAAGAGCGAGTTCCCATTGGCCGTCGCGCTCACATGCCCCGATGACAGCAAGGAAGCTGATCAGATTTGCCTTCTAAAGCTGCTTTCGGCGGGGATTTCCAGGAGGTTGTCGTAAGGGTCGCGTAAGGTACTTGCAGTTTGCTTGTTGGGGTTTTCGAAAGTTTGCCATGAGGTGTTCGGGGTGTTTTGTTATGGACGGTTGAGAATTGAGGGAGCAAGAGTTCAACGCTTCAGCGCTTGAGGGTTCAAGGATCTTCACGTGCACGTGGTAATAGTTAAAGCAGTTACTGGCTTTGGGGCGAAGAGTAAGCGTCTGTCACTCGCTTTGTTGAGAAAATGAGAGACGGTGCAACAGGACGCTAGATTTCGTAATCCTCCTTGCTGAGGGGTCAGCAGGGTAAAACGATAAATAAACCCTCAACCTTGAACTCTCATCCGGTACCTGATGGGAGGCCAAGAGGGGGGGTCAAGATTCCTGGGGCAGGGATTCCTTAATATTATGGGAACCCTAATCCCTACTAAACCCCCATAGGCTAAAACCTCTTTTGGCCTCCTATGAGTACCACTTCAGACAAGCAGCTACAATTGCAGCACTCCAGAGTATTTGATTGAAAAGCCGCCCGCGGCACAGTGACGATTACCACAAGGGACTAAGGAAGGATGCTCGGGGCTTCGTATCAAAGGGGAAAAGGAGGGACCCTTAATGGGGACCCCTACCCTATGATGGGCTATATAATGGGTATATAATAATAGCTATATTAAGGGTATATACCTAGGGATCCTTATTAAGGGTCCCTCCTTTTACCCTTGGACTTAAGTATGACAAAAAAGGGCTGTCGATACAGAGGCCTCCCTTTTTAGGACTTTGAGACCAAAGAGAAAATCTGAAAAACTTGCTTCTGCTTGGAGGTTCATGCGCCTGTCCGTAAACTGCAACATCATCGATCTGCATACAGCTGCGTTCAAGAAGTTAAAAAATAGAAGTGCTCCATGAACCTCCAAGCAGACTATTTGGCTCGGACTGCTGCAACTCTGCCAGCGGGCATCCGCGAAAGGAGCAGCAGCGCGAGCTGCCACTGACCAGCCCGCTCGCAACCCCCCAAACAGGCGCTGAAGCTGGTAACATCGGCTGCCACCTGGGGGCCCATTGTACTATAAGTATAATAAGGGACCCCAAGTTTGTATAGGTAATTCTTAAGGTCTCTATACTGGGGGATGTTTATCAACCGTTCAGCCTGCGTGCGAATCCTCCTTGCAACAACCAAAACTCATTTTGTTTTCGTTGGGTGCTCTCAACTTTCTTCAAGGGGTGGAGGGGAGCAGACAAGATACTCTTTTGAAAGCAACATCCAAGAAACTCTTGCGATTGAGACAAGGCTGGGAGCTGGAATCTTGACCTTGTGTGTGTTTTTATTGACAAGCAAACTTTATGAAACCCTCAAAGGAGCCCGACAAGCCAAACGGTCAAGACTTCCTAGGATACCCAGTAACCTAAGAATAAAAAGGCCTCTCTTTTTGGTATTGGGTAACTTTATAAGGAACCTAGGACTAGAAAAAGGGAATAAGGGTACTACTGGGCATCCTAGCTTCTCAACGGCGCAGAGAAAGAACCGGGGGACCCCCACCTCGGCAGCTGGCATCACCGAGAGTAACAAAAGTGCCTCCTGCATGGAGGGGTTTGGGTTTTAGGGAGTTTAGGGCGTTTAGGGTTTAGGGCTTTAGGGTATAGGACTTAGGGTTGTGGCTTTAGGATTGTTGGTATAGGGCTCTGCATGCAGATTTTGTCCTATACCCTATAAACCCATAAACCCTAAACCCCAAACGTTGGCGGTTTTCGGCATTTTAGGTTTAGGGTTGAGGGTATTGGGTATATGTGGCTGTTTAGTCCGACAAAACCTCCGATCATGCCGGCAAGCCTAGGCCCCGTAAACTCTTGGGGAGGGAGGTAGGTCTATGACTCCTGCCATCGTGACGCCTGGCCGCAGGCACTGATACTGGCGTTGAAGCCTGGTTGCTACTGGGCTGTGGCCAAGGAACCCTAAGGGTCCAAGTACCCAATGATCACATTAACTCACAAAATGGGACCCTACATAACTACTATCCCAAACCCGAGTACCTAATTATCGGGTCATTTGGATCCTTAGAGGAAGTGCTCATGTCTGCTTTTCGCATGGAGTGTTTGAAGAGGTGTTACATGGATTTTCCTAGGGCCTGTGGGATGTCTATGAATTCACTAGGGTGGTTTTCCAGAATGCAATGATTGCAGGAAACCATCCTTCTCTATCATTGCAGATTGGACTACATCACTTCAAGTCTGGCACGAGCAGTGTCTGCACATGGGTGGTTGTCAAAATTATGGCCCCGTTTTGGGTACCCGAAATATTAGGCGCCGTATTAAAATAGGGACCCAAAAAGGGGCCCTGATTTTGACAACCACCCACATGAACAAGCCTGTGGGGCTGAACCTAGGGCTCAAGCAAAGTGCTGAATACGGCTTTAGGCAGCACTTGGGAGCTTCCGTAAACAGGGGACCCGATATGTTACCCTACATAGTAGGATCCTTACTAGGATACCCAGTAACCTAAGAATAAAAAGGCCTCTCTTTTTGGTATTGGGTAGCTTTATAAGGAACCTAGGACTACAAAAAGGGAAAAAGGGTACTACTGGGCATCCTAGCTTATTATAAGGACCCCAAGATAAGGTACCCCTAATTGTCGGAAACTCCCACTTCGGAACAGAAACCGATGGGTTCCCCCGGACCCCCGGGAGGATGTAGAAAGTAGATCCCCTAATTTGGCGCCCTATACTACTGAGGGTACTTTATAGGAACCCCCATTAAGGGATCTACTTTTTGGATCCATCCCGGGGTCTGGGTTGTGCGGGTTATGATCGGATTGACTGTGCGGCTATGTTTTCAAGTCTGTGGTGAACCAGCACCCCCCAAGTACCCTTTAAAGGGCTCTAATCTTTCTCATTTAGAGGTAGTTCGGGACTGCAATAAAGGGTAGTTGGGGGGTCTAGGAAGTTTGGGAGTTTGGAACTTCTTTGATGGTTTCTGTTCTGTTTGCTTCCGGGCTTCTGCTTACAGGCTTTCAGCGAGAACCCTGCGCCCCGAACCAAAACCCTATAAACCTTATACCTTAAGCCCTCACGAATCCATCAGGAAAAGCAGGAACCCTTCACCTAAGTACCCTAGACA